ATCGGAATCGAACCGAACTCTACTTCGACGCCTTCAGCTAGAAGTCAAAGATCGTGTATCGGAACACAGACATACAACGTGGGACACTCTCCTAGAGGACATCGAGCCATCGCACACCGCCTACTGGCGGTTGGCCCGCAGTCTGAAAGCAGACCGCCCCCGCTCTACCGCCGTTAGTTAGATCTAATAGCGCTTCAGTAGCCCTAGATGACTCCGAAAAAGCCGAATGCCTTGCGGACAACCTAGAGCAGCAATGTACGCCATCGCGCGAACACACCGATTCAGTCCACCTAACGGAGGTGGACCGCGTAATCGAGACTAGAGCTGCGCTTCCACCGGAAGGCGAACCTCTAAATTCAGGGACCCCCGAAGAGGTCCAAGATATTATTAAAATTTAAAACCAAAATCCGCCCCGGGCCCAGATAACATAAGTAACAAGATTCTCAAAGCTCTCCCTGGGCCGCTTATCTGTTTACTGGCGACCATTTTCAATACCCTTCTCTCCAGTTGCTCCTTTCCGGACGACTGGTAGCAAGCCACGGTTATCGGCATTCGCAAGCCGAATAAACCAGCCAACCAGCCCTCTAGCTATCGTCCCATCAGCCTCCTCAGTTGCCTGGGGAAGCTCTACGAGCGGCTTTTGTAAAACAGGCTCAAAGAGCACGTGTTTTTCAACGGCCTTCTGCCGGCGGAACAATTCGGCTTTCGAGCTAGACACTCTTGTCCCGATCAGTTATACCGCCTAACGGAGCACATCCTAAAAGGCCTTAACCACCCCAAACACATTAGTACATGGGGCTCTCTTCTTCGACGTCGCAAAAGCATTCGACAAAGTCTGGCACAACGGCTTGCTTTACAAGCTGTACACACTCAAAGTGCCAGATAGGCTCGTACACACCATCCGGGCCTTTTTGTTGAACCGCTCTTTTCGATACCGAGTCGAGGGCACCCTCTCCACAAGCCGCCGCCTCACGGCCGGCGTACCACAAGGCCTCTCACCCTTGTTATTTACGCTCTACACGAGCGACATACCTAGAGACCCCCACGTCAATCTCGCGCTTTTCGCGGATGACACGGCGCTCTTTTACTCAGATCGCAACCTCAGTCAATTAACGACTCGACTCCAAAGCGCCGCCGACCGCCTCGGCGATTGGTTCCGCAAATGGAGAATCGATATTAATCCAGAAAAAAGTGTGGCGATTCACTTCACTCGTAGCACCCCCAACCCCCATCCGCCACACCGTTACAAAGGTCCTCGCCAGTACAGAAAGTTGGGGCAAATATCACTATATGGCCAAACTCTCCCCTGGGAGAAAACGGTCAAATATTTAGGAGTCACTTTCGACTCGCGTATGACTTTCACTACGCACATCAATCAAGTCCGAAATAAAGCCGCGTTCGTCTCCGGCCGGCTACACAATTTAACGAATAAGAAAAGTAAAATGCCCTTAAGTTATATAAAGCTTGCGTAAGGCCAATCATGTCCTACGCATGCATGATCTTCGCACATATAAATCCTACGCGCATTAACGAATTGCAAGTAGTTCAAAGTAAGTTTATCCGCCGCGCAACCGGTGCGCAATGGTATCAGCGCAACGTCGACCTGCACAGCGATTGCAGACTCCCGACGATTCGCGCACATTTTAAAGATTTGACAAAACGGTTCTTCGATAGAGCCCAGCATCATCCCAACCCTCTGGTGGTAAGCGCAGCAAACTACCTACCGGACACTAACGCGAACGTAAACAAGCGTCGCCCGCGAAACGTCCTCATCGACCCGGTCGACGAAGAGGACTTAGACACGATGGACCCACCGCCGGGGGTCCCGCCGGATAACACTACACCCACAGTTAGTGTAACAACAATCACACCAGTTCGCCCTCGCCTCCGAGCACGGCGAGACCCACACAACGCGTACTAAAGGTACACCCGCGTTCCGGGGCGGTTCTCACCGCTCCCAGCCACCGATTAGCTAAATGCACAGTCGACGGCCGTCGGGGTCTCGGTCCGAACCGGCGACCTCGACGGCCCTTAGATGACACACCATAGTAGTTAAACGCACGCATGAGCACATGCGCGACCCTACCCATAGCGGAGGGTCCAAACCCGTGGGTTCTGGCTAGCCCACCGGTTCTGCGTCCGATGAAGCTTTAATAGTCTCGGGACTGAAAGCAAAAACATCAGTTAATACAAGATACAAGATACAACCGGTGGATGCAAATGGCGAAATGTCGTTTGTTCTGGCGTTCTAAGGGCGAGGCCTAATGTACAACATTGGACGTCTGACGAAGATGATAATGACTGTTCCTGAATAAAAAAAGTAATAACAGCCTATACTTTTATTTCCCACAGCTGGACAAAGGCCTCCTCTGAACAGAGTATTAGGGCATAGTCCACCACGGCAACCCATCGGATTGGCGGACATATTTTAAGAATATTTGTTATGATTAACATTTCGAAAATATGCAGACGTTTTCCTTCACCGCTAAGCATTTTTGTTATTATTTAAAAGACATGCATGTTTCTTCAATATATTTGCCTTCACCGCTAAGCATTTTTGTTAGTATTTCAAAGATATACATGTTTCTTCACAATATTCTCCTTCACCGCTAAGCATATTTTTATTATTTCGAAGACATGCATGTTTCTTCACTATATTTTCCTTCACCGCTAAGCATGTGGTAAGTCAGCAAGTAAAATTTACAATGTCACTGGACTGGGAATTTCACCATGACGCAGATTGACCCCACAGACATCTAATTCAAAATATCAGTGAGGTAGCGAGACCAATGCGAAATTGTGGTGGCCTCATGTACAGGTATACTTGTAACATTTTGCAATCCCTTCGAGACACATGGGCACTGGTCTGAAAACCGCTGGCGCTTATGGTCAGCGCCCGCTCCAAAGAACCATAAGCGTACACCTTTTCGTCAATTGTGCATTGGCAAATGGCAGTAATTTATGAAACATACCGTTTCCTAACTGATATTGGTATTACGTACCAGATACAACTTTCCGAAATACGTTTGAAATTTAAAACGTTGGCTTAGACAATTAATTAAATTATTGTGAATATTTGCTAAACTATTAGAAAACATTCACGAATGTGGATAATTAGTAATCGTGTTTGCAACAATCAAACAATACAGCTTTTTATTATGAAGTTAAAATAATTTTACCAGTTTTGAACGTTTCACGGTGACTTGTAATAAGACATATGCCAAGCATTTAAAACAGACCTTTAGGCTTTAAAATATTAATATTAAATCAATCAAAATCTGCTCTGTCGCTTCAAACCACTTAAGTCTGATTTATAGGAGAATATTTATAAGTGACTGGTAATAATTATAAATTAAGAAATCTAATAGAAAGAGAATCTAAAAATACTGTATCATATTCATACCTCTTATTTATTGTCAGTCTCTGACATTATTAGTTTTTTTTTGTAAAAAAAAAAATAAAGGATTTAGCTCGAAGAATTTTGAACATGTTGTGTATTCGAAAACGGTTTTATATTGTTCGCAAATTTAGTGGATCATAATCATAAAAATATTTTTTAAATTACTTAGCAGATCGAATAGAATGAAAAATACCTTCCGAATTAGGTGTGAAAATAGCTTCAAATTGAGTTATCATCTTAATGTGTATGGAACCAATTCATGCAATCTGTATTGTTTATTAGAAATGTATTATCTCACTGTTCCCAATATTGTCATTGTTTGAATACAGCTTGTAATCGCTTACAGCCAGTTTTATTCACCATTTATAAGAAAAACATTCAAGTTAAACAAATAAAGCGGTGGATTTAATAAACACATGATATCAGAGAGTACACTTTGTTATAAAACTTATTACATACAATAAATTTGGAAGAGACGTGATCTTCATTACCCACTCACAAGGATTTCTCTGACTGGACGACTACAATTACGGTCTATGGAGGGCGATGAAGACGTTAAAGCAATTGGCATCACAGTAAGGGAGAATGAGAAGTTTCTTCTCAACAGAACCTGCTATCCGAACCGGTGGTAACTTACTTACAAACTTGTGTATTAATCGTTATATAAAATTCGATGTTTCATAAGTTCGCGCAAGTGTCTATTTGAATAAAGATATTTTGAGTTTTGAATTTTTAAATAAAGACCTTCTGGAGACATTTATCAAGACGACCACAGTTGAGCTTTTTATTATGATAGTCATTAATATCATAATAAAAAGCATTACTATCATAATATTGAGCATATGATTTAACATTTTTTAAAATCATATGCTCCATAAGGATCATAAATATTATACATATAATAAATGCAATATTTAAATAAACCACAAATAACCTGTTGCTAGCATACGATATCAAGTTCAAGAAAACATTAAAAAAAGACCTTTTTATTTGTACATGAGAAACTCTTCAAAATCGACTAAAAAATTTAACCATTTACTTACTTATTACAAGTGAAATTCATCTTATGGATATTATTTCATAATATTATGTATATTTAAGATACTAATAAAAATTAATATGTATTAACATTTATTTATTTATGTCAAAAACACCTAGTCATAATCGCAAAAGCGTTTACAACAATTAGTGTTTAGTCTAACCTAAAGGGACAGCAAGCAAATAATTGTTTAGCCAAATGTTAAATTGTTTTAAAAAATAAAATCAAGCAACACATTATACATAATATATCAATCTTGTCTCGGTCAATTAAAATCGTGCGCTCTACAGAATTGGGTGTTTACTGATGACAACTGTCAACAGACTGATTAGTGACCTCAGCGGTGTGCAGATTTGGCGATCTCTTGAAAAACAATACATCGTCACTCGCGACGTTCATATCGTCGCAATTTTGTAACGATAGGCGGGATCAAGGTTAAGGTGATGCTGCCGTTGGTCCCTTAAATACGAACGAGCGGACAGATCCCAGTTAGTTCGATTGCAATCGGTTCAACGGCCGCGCGGCAGCGAGCAGCACTTCGTCAACGCATAACATTATAAAATGCCGCCAGTCGCAGTGCCCGATGAGGTAAATCAACTTTGTAACTAACTAGCGACCCGCCCATAAATTTATATATAAACCTTTTCTTTCTATTTATATATAAAACCAATAACATATTATACATATAAACCTTCCTTTTGAATCACTCTATCTAGTAAAAAAAACCGCATCAAAATCCGTTGCGTAGTTTTAAAGATCTAACAGACAGAAAGCGGGACGACTTTATTTTATACTATGTAAGTAGTGACCATAGATATATCAACATGTGAACTTAATCATATATAAAAACATGCGTTAAATTTTAAACAAAACATATAGATACTGATCTTGGAGCGATGGCGGAGGATGTGTTCACAAAGATCTGCTAAAGTGAAAGTTCCCCTCAGGCACCAAAGAAGCAGCTACGGGTCGCGATAATCGGCCAGAGTACGTTCGCCGCGGAAGTTTTCAAACTGCTCCAGAGAGATGGCCACGAAGTGGTCGGTGTGTTCACGGTTCTGGATAAAGGCAACAGGGAGGACCCTTTGGGTGAGTTGAACTGTGCTTAGTTAACAAGTACTTTTACATCTTTATTACTGCTTTAGCTTATTGTTGATTTACAAATTTTGCACATATTACTGTTCTTCATTCAAAAATGCTTTCTACTATTAACTTTAATCACAATTTATATTAACTTTAATCTAAAATTAAAGTATTTAACTGTATCGGCTACGCCATATCAGGTAGAATATTTTAAAGAATTCAGTGGACGGTCTTAACCCAGAATAATTGTTTCTAATGCTTTTCATTTGTTCTTTCACAGCAACAATCGCTGCTCAATATGGCAAACCAGTGTTTAAGTACAAAACTTGGCGTGTTAAAGGAAAAGTCATACCAGAAGTATTGGAGGACTATAAATCTGTGAGTGATTAATATACTTTTGTTCCTATATGTAAACATAAAAATTCTCGGAGAGTAATCATCAATTGTGTAAATGAAAGGTTAAAAAAGTCGTATTATTTTGCTGATTTAACTTTTTCTGTGGATTTTGTCTTTAAAATTTCTTTGTCAAAAGATCAAATATTGTTTCTGCTTCATGGGAATTGCTTCCAATGTGCGTCGACCTTTATACATCAAGCTTTAAACTGTTATTTTTCTCAATTTCCAAGTACAAATTACGGTATTAACATCATTAAATATATTATTGAGGTTTTTCGCTTTTCTCAAAACATGTGAATTTCGGATCGAACACACGAATCGAGACGCCAAAGTCAAAATAAATAAGTCAAACTTAAACCATATTTAAGTGGTGACTGCATACAAAAACCCGAACATCGGGCAAGTGGAATGCCTAAGGGGAGGGCGTCCTGCCATTAATAATGTAGGCTGATAATAATAAATTTGTCATCACAAACTCTTTTTAATCATTGGTTTTTTAAATGATCGATATAACATATACAGTTTTTAAAACGCCAAATTATATTTCACTTACCAAGCCTTCGTCCTTTAAGGATGAGCCTTGCCTTACGTATTAAATGGTACCTGGTCGAATAACTAGTAAATTATTATATTCTGTAGGCCTGACCATTGTGCCTGTAAAGGTCTGACTCAAAGTCCATACTTTCGTCCACACTTTAACATTTAGCCGTTATCTCTGGCTTTCTGTAACAATAACCTATCCCGAACTTACCAGACGACAACTAGACGATATCAGTTGAAAATAGGTTAAACGTTTTCTTATACTCACGCGTATCCAATCTCGCTTCATGTCCCCGCAGAAATCATGCCATTTTCTATTTGTATAAAAAAAGTACTCGAGCACTAAATTTATGAATCGAATTCTTTTTATCTCACTACGATTCGAATCTACGTATTCTGGATCTAACTACCGTCGCAGTAGTAAGTTGGTATGTCTATTTAAAATAGTCTATTCGCTGAAAAAAAATTATATAATTAAAACTTTGAATTCTAAGTCATTGTGATATCATGTAATTGCAGTGTCAATAATGAGAGCATAAAATATATTTTACACAAAACGTAATTGAATGGACAGTCGACAGTCTATATGTCTGTCCATAATGTGATTAGTCCATAATTCATTCATACGTTTCCATTGCCTAAATTTTGCGGTTATTTTTCTGAGTTTTAACTCGATAGGCACTTTGTTAGTTTTCATTGTACGGAATACGTTACCGTCAATTCCATATGATTTATGTCTGAATGTGCGCTCTACTTTGGCACAATGGACAACTTACACATTTGCGCTAGAAACGATGGAACGCAAACGCCAGTTACATACACCGATATTGACATGTGTAAGGCATGCGCCTATGTCGATACCTTTTGACCCCTACTATCACGGCTCGCCTCAGACATTGGGCTCAAAAACTCACTTAATATATAATCGTAATACCATTCGTATCGCGAAAAAAACGTACCTAATTACGGTTATTTACGGCACATATATTAAAAATAAAGGATATCTGGCCATGGGAAAGATATGCTTCTGAAGTTAACGCTATAAACGAGAATAAGCAACGAAAAAAATATTTAATAAAATCTTTTATTTTAAAAAAATTGTGCTTTAGCTCTTATAAACAGTTCAATAACATTAATAATATCACCATAGTTAGTATGTATTATTATTAATTATTGTTTGAAATGTTCCAGCTATGAGAATTACGTGCTTATGGAAAACATTTCTTCTCAGTATTTCTCTATCTCGTAAATATTTATTTGAATAGATTCCAGTAGTGGCGACGATTGGATCGCCTTTTAACAAATCGACCATAATATTTTTTTTTAAGATTCTTATGTTTATCAACGCTGTACGTTTCTTAGTTCCTTCATTCACCGGAATCCAAAGATTGATGGCAGTGAAATTTATCACCTGCTTACTTAGCTTAAACAGACTCCAATACAAAAAGAAACTTTAAAATCGGTTCATAAATGATAGTGCTAAAGGAATAAACAACCTTTTCCTTAGCGTAATAATAAGACGGCTGAACTCGCGTAAAACCGGTGTATGTACCTACCGACTAGTTTGGGACTCATCGGAGGTCCTTCATCAAAAAACGGCCAAGTGCGAGTCGGACTCGTGCACGAAGGTTTCCGTACCATATATAAAAACTGAAAAAAAAAATTGTCTGTTGTATGGGAGCACTTAAATATTTTTTTATTCTTTTTCTTAGCATTTGTTTTTACACCGGCAACAGAAATACATCATCTGTGTACATTTCAACTCTCCAACTATCGTGATAGTGATACTTCATCTGACAGACAGCGGAGCTTAGTAATAGGGTCCCATTTTACACTTTATGTACGGAACCGTAAATAAGGAATTTTTCATCGCTGACAATTAAGAGCTCCAAAACGTACCAGACTGGTTCTGGTACGTTTTATCCTAATCTGCCCCCAAATTAATATATTACAACTTGTATCGTATATTACGTTTTAGCGCTGTTTGATAAACGTCGCGTGCAAGCAACATAACATAGTGTGGAATTCATTACGATGGTAAAGGACAAAAAACACAACTCATTCAAATGCTACAATCAAATGACCTTCGCGTGTTATTTTTTTACCTTATGCAAGAAGTAAAACTCAAATTTTCCATAGGTAATATCACAGTATGTTATTATATTAATTTTTTTGAATGTACGTATATTTTTGATGTGTTTATACAATTATGTAACTTGCGATTATGGTGACACACGAGTCATCTACGGGAGATAACCCATAGTTTATCACCATAGAGTTACATGATCAATGTTACCATATTATTTGACAAATTACTACAAAATTTGTTCCGATATGTATTTATACTTAAATCCTTAATCGGTTTTTATCTACAAATTTTAAAACAATAGTTTTGAAAGCTGATACTGATTAGGATTTAACAGACGGACACGAAAACATCGCGAATACATATATACCTGCATATTTTCGATATAATGAACAAAAAAAATTCGAAAATATTGTGAAGTCCGCCAATCCGCAGTGGGGCCGCGTGGTGGACTATTCCCTAAAGCCCCATGTACGGAGGAGGCCTTTTCCCAACAGTGGGACATTTATAGGCTGTAGCTTTACTGAAATAGGTTTTCGATAAGAGTTAGTTTATCGATAACTTATTTCCAATGACAACTGCTGTTCATTTACTTAAATTGCGTTAATTTACGCAAGGCACGTAGTTTATTGAAATTCAACTTTATCGGTTATTTTCTAATGTCGATGAATACACGCGATATAAGATAAGCGTGCGTATAAACTGGAGTTAAACGTGATATAGTCACTCCAATAAAAAAGATAAGCGAACCGTAGTTTCTAAACGCTGTAAGAGAAATCTAATCAGATATTAAACTATTATAACCGACAATACCGGAACTGTTTCCCAGTAATAAGAGATTGACCAAGATTTGACATCGAGCTTTGGAAGGATCGGAGCTTTTGGAATCCCAGCAACATGTTATAGCAACATAGTAAAGTCCCAGCAACATAAACATTCTGAAATGTGCGCAAAATCTCTCGCATCATCATGTTATGAAATATGAATTTACACCGGATAACTTTTTTATGTGAATGGTTAGGAAGCGTACATGCGGTTCATCCGATGACATCTAAAACCGAAGGATTGCAAATGCGTTACTTTGCACTTTATTAAAAGGTGGCAACGCATCTGCAACCCTACGGGTGTTGCAAGTGTCGAGCGGTGGTTATCACTTAACATCAGGTGAACCGCCAGCTCGTTTGCCACGTTGTCACAAAAACCCTTAAATAAAGGTAGTCACAGTTACATCACTCATCAAACTAAACGCAAAAGCATTACTATCTTACGCTGGGTTTCTGTGAGGCCGTGGTACTTCCCAGGATGAGGATGCATATTCGTGGCACAGTGGAAACTATTGCGTGGCCTTTCAACAATAAATAATATCTGTCTATCCAATCAGTGTTAAAAATCTGATAGCTTCTCCTTTTTGCCAAGATTTAAGCGGCACCGTGAAAGTTCTATCGTAGTTGATAGTTAAGACGAACTCTATATCATATCGACTAGCTATCGCTAAAGGTCAGAATACATCCCACCAAGCAATTATAATACATACGTATAGTTCAAGCCGTATACCATTTCGAATTCTTTATTTGCTAATTTTTTTATGTGAGGAGGTGGCAAGCGAACTGGCGGTTCACCTGATGAGTAATAACCACCCACGATCTACATTTGCAACACCCGTAGGGTTGCAGATGCTTTGCCACCTTTCAATAAATTGGGCCCCGGTTACCTCACTCACCGGACGAAACACAGAAGTTCGGGGCGGTCACTTCAGGACGGCCTTCTTTGAGGTACTTCCTCGTGGTGCTTCCCCGGACGGACCTGCCCATTCGTGCAACAGCGAGGACTGTTGCGTGGCCCTACCACATTTCTTTCTTCCTACCGTACCTTTCCAATGTTTTCCTTTTTTTTCCTCTACTGAAAATAAAAATACCTCTGCCTATTTCAAAATAACTAGACTTTTTAAAGTAACTTAATAAAAGAAATTTAAATAATTGACCTAATTGTTGTCATCGACGAGAGCAATCATTTAGCGGGTCGTTGTAACCGGTTGCCTGTCTAGCACAATCTCCGACGATTAATGATTCTTTGTCCGCTGTCATGTAACGCAGACGGATGACGTAACCTCGAGTCTTCAAGATGCGTTCCAGATTGATATACATACCTTTGATGATTTATACGTTTACGCCCGCTTTCTGAAACACTGATCACCGTACAAGTAAACTGACAGAAGAATGATCTTAATGATCATAATGGTCAATTCAAATATTCAACAATCCTTTTCGCAACTCAAATAACATCTGAAAAGTCATTTGCCACCACTACGTTTTGCGCGCCATAGAATAAACACGTTTTCCCAAAACAATTACATATGGCATTCTGTGCAGTGAAATTGACATTTGTTATGAATATATACCTGCTATGTACATATATATACCTTTTATATTGATATAATCTGAGATAAATACATCGATGAGATCATTTTAAACTATTCCTCGAAGTATAAATTTACATTTCTAATGACATACGCTTCTTTAAAGTCTATTAAGATCATGTTATTTTTGGCATTTACGTCGTCAACGCTTGGAGTGGTAGAATAAAAACATTCTCTCAAGCTCGAATTTCAAATTGCCATCAACAAACCATAATTTACAATACAATTTTAAAATGTACATTTTTTATAAAAAGTAAATCACACAATATACTCATTGCTAATTAATTACACAACAAAACACAAGACGTACTAATACTACGCCAGAAGCTTTAATAGTCTCGGGACTGAAAGCAAAAACATCAGTTAATACAAGATACTAATACTATCTGATAGATATGATTCTGATAGAAATTTTTAAAAGTCCTTAAAAAGAGACCCCCGTTCCCTGCCAAAATGTTTGAAACTCACATAGGGCTCTAAGTATTATGTATAAACACGTTTCCTCTTTCCGACTTGTGTAGGTATTCGACATTTACGTCATCCATATTATTACGTAGAAATAATCATGAACAGGTCGGCGCCGACATAAATGTGCTGCCATTCTGCACACAATTCATCCCGATGGAGGTGATCACGTATCCGAAATATCAGAGCATCTGCTACCACCCCAGCATCCTGCCCAGGCACAGAGGGGCCTCCTCCATTAACTGGTAAGTAGACGTCATTGATGCCCGGTTCCTATATTCAACGAACGGCCGTTAGTTACCTAGCTTCGTAACGTTCGTTGAGTACAGGAACCGGGCATGAGATTATTGTATAAGAAAATACCTCTGAATATATTGGTCTACTTCTTTCTTATAAGTAAATTAGTAAGTATTATTGACAAACATTATTAAAACAACATATTCAAATTGAGTGTTGTGCTCGGTTGTTATTGAAATGCAAGTTTAGCAATATGTATTGGTCTGTAATAATTTAGTCATGTTACAATTTGTATTTTGAAAACCAGCCAAATAAACAAAAAAAAATATGTCTCCTGTTTGGAGAAGTACCACAGCCTCTCAGAAGAGCAGCGTTCTTTTTCTTATATGAAAAGTTGCCAAGTGAGCAGACGGTTCACCTGATGTTAAAAGTAGAGGCATTACATTTTTTTGTTTTTCCTCCTAAATGAGGTTACAGGCTATTTGTGCGAGTTATAAATGGGCTCACTTGTCCGAGGAAAATGCGCAATAGATAACCCGCGGATGAAGAAGTGGATATACTTCTGTTCTGCGGACTGAGGTAACCACGGACGCACCTTCTTATAGGTTGGAACGGCTTTATTTGCTATGTTGTGCGTATGTTAAAAATAAACTCAACCTGATGAAAGATTCGAAAACAATACCGAAGTTTACCTGAATGTATGTTAAAAAGAAAGAAATAAATATTTAGTTGGTACATAACAAACAAACCCGTAAAATAAAAAAAATAAAAACAACAACTAAAATTTATAAATCAATGCACCAAAAAGGTCGCTCAGCATTGTATCGCGAAAAAATTTTGCAATTGCTGGTTTTTAGTGGAGCGCCCAAGGAACCTGGAGAGATCAACGACTTTAACAACAGTAATAACATATGCTTATAATTATATAATATTAACAGATTATTAATAAACGTAACATAAATTGCATTTAACGCCTGTTTGTACGACAACACTAGTCAATATTTAACCAGTACGGTTAATAATCCCACGGCTTGTTTACTAATCAAATACGGATTGTAGGACGTTAATAGAGGGCGACACCACCTGCGGCCTGACCATCTTCTGGGCCGACGATGGCCTGGACACCGGGCCCATACTCCTGCAGAAAAGTTTCCCGGCAACAATTGACGATACTGTGGATACCTTGTACAACAAATACCTATATCCCGAAGGTAAGAAATTAAAAAATTGCCACTATACAGGGTGGCTTTTCTAAAGGTGCCCAAATTCACACAGAAGGTTCAAACTCCGTAGTATAATCGTTTATTGAAATAAAAACATTTTTTTTAAATTGCCTTTCTTTTCCCTAAATAACAGAACTTGTTGACTCATTCATACATTCATTCATTCATTCACTCATTCATACATGCGTCGTATACTTTTGAAACGAACTTGTGTGCGTGTTAGTTATGAATGATCGCGCCTAAAATAAATGAGTTGCCCATAAATCACACACTATTTGAGATAAGTTAAAATGAATGTTATTAATTAATTAATTAAGCGTGATTTAAAATATTTATGATTTTTTAAATAACATTATTTATGTCTAGAATTTAATTAAAAAATATGGATACACTTAGAAAACCCCCCTGTAAAAAGCCCCAAAGTTGTTGATTCCTTTATTAATTTCTTTGAAACAACATAAAAATTTTGTTTATAAGGGAGCATACATAAATGTGAATTCAACAAATAACAAGTTCAGCTGACGATATGTGACAATTACTACATAGTTATAGCCACAACTCCTATCAGATTTCTGTTGCGTTTTAAACATTTAAGCGCTGCTTAACAATTACCTCATTTACCAGATGAAATGCAAAAATATAAATACCTTTTCTACGATATTTTTAGCGTGATGCTTCCCTGGAGCCTGCCTGTTCAAGCCTCGGCAAAAGTTGTCTGGCTGTAGCATAGTGAAAAGGTCTACACTAATATTCTCCTTAAAATTTGGAGGTGAAGTGGTTGAAAAAAATTTTTCGCCACTGCCAAGAATGGATGCTGCGTCTCAACATCATCTTAAATGCAGAGAAGAGCACTAAAATTAAAAATTAAATTTTCTCCTTTACGAAAAGTACAGTCTAAATCCAGTGCAACCGTCTGTTGGTTGCAAACTTTCTCTTCTCTTCTATCTTTCTTATCTCATATTCATCTAATCTTTATCTTCAATCTATTTTTCTTTTATTATTTTATCATTATTTCAGGCATCAAGGCTCTTGCGGAATCCGTGAACATGGTGGCAAATGGCACCGCACCAAAGATTAAGCAGACAGAAGAGGGCGCAACATATGACCCTGCCCTCTTCAAACCAGAAACTCACCAGGTTAGTTTTTTTTAGCTGGCGGTTATTTTAAGTGATAACTGCCGTCTATTAACATTTGCAACACCTGTATATTTGTAGATGCGTTGTCACCTTTTAATAAAGTAGGCCTCGTCTACCTCACTCACCAGACGAAACGCAGATTAATAAAACACTGCACATATACATGCACCATATTCTGTAAGTTCGTGGTTCTTATCCGGATGGACCCGTCCATACGTGCAACAGGAAAGACTGTTGCAGCAATAGAAAGAGAAAAATGCAGAAATGAAGAGTTTAAAAATTATATTTTGATTTAGCATAACGATCTATGTTGAAGGTTAATTTATTACTTAACAAAACAAAATTATTTTAAAACAAGCATAGCTTTCAGAGCAACAAATAAATAAAGCGTGGAGATTCGCCACCAGTTTCTTTTTGACTTACTCAAAATTTTACCACAATCGTAATTTTCTTTCGCATTTGTGCAGATCGATTGGTCAAAGGGTGGGCTTGCATTGCACAACTTCATCCGCGGGCTGGACTCATCACCTGGAGCGACGACGAGCCTGTCACCTGACGTCGAGCTGAAACTGTACGGCTCGTCCTTATGGCAAGCGGAGTACGAAACGGCAGGGGAGCCTCTGCTCATCCCCGGACTAGAACAGCCTGCTATAGTGCACGAAGCGGGTCTCCTAATCACCGCCAATGATGGTGTTAAGGTAACCTCAATCAGATTGAAGTCATAGAGTAAATCTAAAATCCGCTCAAGAATCAAAGCAACAACGCCTACAACTAACATGTTTTTTTACCATTGGCTAACAACTTTTTTGATACAACATTATTACCAATACCATTCTCAGTTCGCGGTTGATTATTCATTAATTTAAACGTTACTTCATTGTTAGATTATTTATTTGTGCATCTGGTTGTGGAGTTTCTGTACGACTTTATAGATACATTAATTATTTGGAGCTATACACACAGTTCAACTAGTCAGATAGTGGGTTACTTAAAATAAAGCAAACCAAATTCGAAACTGAAGAACTTTTACATTAAGGGCTTCTTCGATTACAGTTTCACTGATTTGTTGCAGTTAAACGTGAGCAGACTGCGAGTGAACGGTAAAATGATCAATGCGCAGAACTACTTCAAAGCTAACGAGGAGAAGGCCTCGTTGGAACTGACGGCCGAGGAGAAAGAGTTCGTGGAAGCGGTCCGCGGGGTGTGGAAGGCAATACTCAGTACAGAGGTGGAGCCAGAAACTGATTTCTTCGCTAGCGGCGCCGGGTCCATGGACGTCGTTCGATTGGTGGAAGAAGTCAAGGACTTGGCCGGCATCGAGCTGCTGAACGAAGACGTGTACATGAACACGACGTTCGAGGAGTTCTGCCTAGCGGCGGTCTCTCGGGCGAGAGGTGGCGCCGAAAGCGAAGAGGTCACCTACGAGGGCGTCGAGATGGAAGTGAACAAAATGCGCATCAGGTTCCCCACGCAACTCTTCATCGACGGACGCTTCGTGGACGCAGAGAGCGGGAAGACGCTGCCGTCGGTGAATCCGGCGGACGAGTCTGTCATATGCAAGGTGCAGTGCGCGTCCGCGGCGGACGTGGACAAGGCCGTCAGGGCGGCGAAGGCCGCCTTCGAGGAGGGCGAGTGGTCACGCATCAGCGCCAGGGAGCGCGGGCAACTGCTGTTCAAGTACGCGGACTTTAATTATGTTACAGTTTTAAAACAACGTTAAGTTTCGCTGTCCCTTGCATCGAGAAAATGTTCTCTATTTCATTATTCGGAATGATTTTTTTTAATGCGAAAATTGCCAAACGGCAGTTCACCCGATGTTAAGTGATTACCGCCGCCAACGGACGTCTACAACATCAGAAGGCATGCCAACAGCAGATGCACAAAATATTATGCTTCACTCCGGTCTCCTGCGAGGCCCTGGCTTGAGACTGAGGCTTCTGCGATATACGATACAAATAACAAACCGTCCCCGCAGGCTGGCCGATCTGATGGAGAAGCACAAGGAGGAGCTGGCGACCATAGAGGCGATCGACTCCGGCGCCGTGTACACGTTGGCGCTGAAGACCCACGTGGGCATGTCGATCGAGACCTGGCGCTACTTCGCGGGCTGGTGCGACAAGATCCAGGGCGCCACGATCCCCGTCAGCCACGCGCGCCCCGCCCGCAACCTGGCGCTCACCAAGCGCGAGCCGGTGGGCGTGTGCGCGCTCATCACCCCCTGGAACTACCCGCTGATGATGCTCTCGTGGAAGATGGCCGCCTGCCTCGCGGCCGGCAACACGGTCGTCATCAAGCCGGCCGCCGTGAGTACTGACTCTACTGCGAATACTATAGAAGTGTAACCGTAGCTTAAGTGTGTGAACAATGTTCCTTACGAATGCTTAGGCTATTGGCAGGGTGGTATTTAAAACTCGTAATAATTAAAAGCCTACGTATTTGTAGACAAAGACAACGAAAAAAATTCACACACTATATTGAAAATTGATTTGAGCGTATCTCTTCGCAGTGAAGCCTATACAAGATTGTAGATATATACAATCAAATGGTAAATGACACGTCCAGTATATCTTTAGACTGAAAGCGTGATTATGTAAACAAAAAGCCTTTCAAACATTCCTTTTAAACTTACAAGTGTTACCCACCTAATAAATGAAAATTCATCACGAGGGCTTGAAGATGAACTTTTTATATGAAGTCGTTAAGGGGTTTTCGTTTGCAGGTGTGCCCGTTGACCGCGCTGAAGTTCGCCGAGCTCTGCGCCAAGGCGGGCCTGCCGAAGGGAGTCGTGAACGTGGTCGCCGGAAGCGGTTCGGTGGCCGGCCAGGCTCTAGCCGACCACCCGCTGGTGCGGAAGCTCGGCTTCACCGGAAGCACGCCAGTCGGTGAGAACACATCCATTCATTCACTCGTTCGCTCGTTTTGAATTCAACTCGCTCCAGATGCACAAGCACGTATGCTTTCAACAATCTTTCACTTGTTCAAACTTCATTCTAAATTTCATTGATTGATGCGATTGTGTGTCATTCGCTAGTCAGAATAGAACTATAGCACCGCGTCCTTCTGTCCGACGTTAATATAACTCATATTATCATCAAGAATAGGATATTACAAGGGAGATGCTATTGTTCGACGTCATTACCATCATGTTTGAAAAGTATAAAAATAACCTCATTGAATCACTGAGCGGCATCGGTTCGGTCACTTATTCAAATATTTCAGCCATTTAATCATTTATGGCGATCGTCAATTATATATCAATCGGTTATGGTAATTACTCGGTGTCTGCGTGGAAAAGTTACTTATTTAGCAACTTTTCCACGAAGATCAACATTAGAAATTAAGCAAATAGTTATTTTAATAAAAATAAGGCGAGCTTAGTTCCCAGTTTGCTTTTACAAGTACGTTACTTACGTGTCGGGATAAAAAAACATAATTATTGAAAATAAACTAGTAAGAAGCTTACACACAACTACATCCTTTCACGAATAATCGTGCGAGCTGTTATTTTCACCGTATGAGAATACTCCTAAATTATGTGATGGCGAGGACTTATTAAAAACTATCCCGTATTTGTTTTACAGGTAGCACCATAATGAAGTCGTGCGCTGTGTCCAACATGAAGAAAGTGTCGTTAGAGCTGGGCGGAAAATCACCGCTTGTAATCTTCGAAGACTGTGATATGGATAAGGCTGTCAGAAATGTGCGTAATGATATTATTCATATTGAGTTTCAATCTTATCACAGGCGCCTGTAAAAATGTTTAGTAGTTTTAGCCCCAGAAAATGAAAACTTAGTTAATAAAATGTTACAGGCGTCTAGATAAATGTTAAGACAATAATTATTTATTTATTTTTAACATTAACGTATATACACTATACTCGTATGTTCTGTCTATGTGCTTTTTTCGTTTTTAATAATTCAATCAAATTATGAAAAAATATTTCATTCGATACACATTACGAATTACACAAGCCATGTAAAGTGATAAACACTATATAATTTTAATGTACGAAGATATTTATTTATAAACAATTTATTAACGAGCGAAAGTAGACTTTGTGTAACGCCAACAATTAACACACCAGGGCATGGCGGCTGTGTTCTTCAACAAAGGCGAGAACTGCATAGCAGCCGGCCGACTCTTCGTCGAGGAAACCATTCATGATGAGTTCCTAAGGCGCGTTGTGGAGGAGACAAAGAAAATTTCCATCGGCGATCCCCTTAACAGAGGCACTTCGCATGGGCCCCAGAACCACAAGGCACACTTGGACAAACTCGTTGAGGTATAATTACAATATGTTTGTCACTATGGTCATGTTCATCAATCCTACTACTACAAAATTAATCAAATTTCAGACTCACTGCTGCTAAGCTCGATTTTAAATGATACTATCCTAGAAAAGTACCACTATAAAATATGCATAGGTTAATTAAAGGTTGGGAGTCAATTGCACTTGCAAAAGCATTGCGTATGTGTAAGTCTTTCAAAAAAATTAGTCTTATTAAACACATAAGGCACAAATATTTTGACTAACGACTGACCTTTCGTCATCCTTTCCGTCATCAATTTGAGGCCCTCAGAAATGTTTCCATGCCAGTTAACATCAACCAAAGATACACAAAATAAATAATTTCACACAGCCTTTCAATTTAGCGATGGTGTTTAGTATAAATGATACTAAACACTATCGCTAAATTGTTTGGTGTGAAATTTGTTTTTTTTCCATTTCCATACATGATTTTATACCACGTAAGCAATACTTGTGATATGCGTACAAAATATGGGATAAACATACTAAGTCATACTTTTCTTTAGTAAACAAATACACAATTAAAATATTTAAAATCACATTTATGCAAAAACCCAGACACTGTAAAAACACTATATTCATCGCATAATATTTTTCCAGTAGTGGGGATAATTGAAACATTTATTTATAATGCTAATCCTAACATTAAACAAAAAAAATCTTTAAAGTGCTAACATAAAAGTTTGTAAAAAAATCAGCCTTTTAGTTGAACGGTTAAAGCGTAGCTGGGAGCGAATTCCGAAGAAGCGGTTTCGATTCCCAAAGGGCGAAAAAGAAATATTCTATGTTTGTACTTTACCCGTAATGTTGTCTGTTCCAGTTCTGCGAACGTGGCGTGGCGGAGGGCGCACGTCTGGTGATTGGCGGCTCCCGCCTGCCGCGCCCCGGCTACTTCTTCGCGCCCACCGTATTCACGGACGTGGCCGACGACATGTTCATTGCGCAGGAGGAGTCATTCGGGCCGATCATGATCATAAGCAAGTTCAGCAGCAAGTGAGTGCCGCGCTCAAATAATATTCTGAAGTATTTTAATTATCAAATGCTAGCTTCCCGCCCGCGGCTTCGCTCGCGTTGAAGCCCTTAAATATATATCTATCCCCTTTAAGAACCCTTTTTCCAATTAAAAAATAGCCTATGTCCTTTCTCAGGCTCTATACTATCTGTGTACCAAAATTCATTTAAATCGATTCAGTAGTTTTGGCGTGAAAGCGAGACAGACAGACAGAGTTCCTTTTGCATTTATAATATTGGTATGGAAGTATGGATGTCCGTATACCCTCTGATACCCTCTGTATAGAGGAGTCCATTGCCCACGGTGGGACTTATATAGCCTGTTACTTTACACGTCCGGTGCGCAGTGACGGGGACTCCGTGACATATACAGGCTGTTACTTTATTTTCAACCTTCGTTGCACAGAGACGTGGACAAAGTGAAAGTATAATACTTTTGCGTTTCGTCTAGTGTGTGAGGTAGCCGAAGCCCAATTTTCAAAAGGTTGTCAACGCATCTGGAAACCTTCGTGTGTAGCAGATGTCATAGCAGATGGACTTATCTACCCTACCAGCATATACAAGATCTTACTTAATTTCCAACGTCCGTTGCGCAGGGACTTGGACGCCGTGACATATACAGGCTGTTACTTTACTTCCAACGTCCGTTGCACAGGGACGTGGACGCCGTGACATATACAGGGTGTTACTTTACTTCCAACGTCCGTTGCGCAGGGACTTGGACGCCGTGACATATACAGGCTGTTACTTTACTTCCAACGTCCGTTGCGCAGGGACGTGGACGCCGTGACATATACAGGCTGTTACTTTAATTCCAACGTCCGTTGCGCAGGGACGTGGACGCCGTGATAAGGCGCGCCAACGCCACCGAGTACGGCCTGGCGTCCGGCGTGTTCACGCGCGACCTGTCGCGCGCGCTCTCCTTCGCCGAGCGCATCGACGCCGGCACCGTGTTCATAAACACTTACAACAAGACAGACGTCGCGGCGCCCTTCGGCGGCTTCAAGCAGAGCGGCTTCGGCAAGGACTTGGGTACGCCGCTCCCCTATATTTTCCTTTGCGGGCACATTTTTACGCAACGTTTTTATACCCAAACTAAGCAACGCTTGCACTATGGGTACCAGAAAACTGATAAACATACTTCTCTTTTGTAAACTATACATATATATACACCGAGACACTGAAACAACACGACGGTCACCACACAATATTAGTAGTGGGATCGAACCCACACCCTCTACTCGCCAATCGGGCCGTCTTTTCATAGCATTGCCCTTACTTTAGGATAACATTATGCTGTGTTGCAAGAAGGTTATGTATTACAAAAATAAATTTCACGTGGACAAACATCCAGATGCGATCTTTTGCATAGATATGTTTTTGAATATGATTTCTATTGTTTTATCAACTGGTAATAATGCTCATTTTTGTTTCAGGTCAAGAAGCCCTGAACGAATACCTCAAGACGAAATGCATTACCATAGAATATTGAACAATTACGTTCAGTTTTAGTGTAATTTTTGCCACCTGAGGAGTCTATGAAGTTTGTGTATATAAATCTGTTAAGTATCACCTTTATAATTGTGTGTCTGAAATGAATATGTTTATAGAATAAATAAAAAAAAAAAACAAAGAAATCTTACTTGAGTAAATTACTTTCTCGGATCGTTTGAATATTTTATTTCTCAAGAATTATAACAAATGACTGCGTGTAACCTTTATACGCGGTTGAAGTGAAACTTGAAAAAATCTTTAAATATTTACATATGAAATTGGCATTTTGTACGGGGGGAATTTAGTCAATTTTTTTTTTGTAAAATATATATAATCAAAGTATGCACCGTTCTCATGGGTAGTTCATTGGTCTGTTTACTAAAAAAACATGGGGCGAGAATCAAAAGAGCTCTTTGTAGGCGGTTTGGACTGCCGCATTGGAGTTGATTTTTTTTCCTTGTAAGATGACCAAATTCTGGGGAAAATGGTAATCTGTTAGAGCAAGGTCCAGTAGTCGATGTCGCAGACATTCCAATTGTAGCCCATCTAACTGAGTGGTTGTTTGTTGTGCAGTGTGTGGTCTCACGTCGCCGTGAAGTAGCAGGGGCCTAGAGCGATTGACCAATCTCGGTTGTTTGGCAGCTAGTTCTTCCTTCATGGTTTGCATTTGCTAACAATAAATATCTGCCGTAATCGTTTGGTCAGTCCACTAGTCCACTAAACACTCAAGTAACTTTTTCCGAGTCAATTTTCGTTTAGGGCAGGATTTGGCTAGGTTTAGTAATTATATATTATCGTACAGTAGTGTCCACTTTTCAACACAGGTAATGATTCATTTTAAAATCCCTTCATTATTGTGTTAAGCAAAGTAACACAGCAGTTGACGCATTCGTCCTAGATTTTTTACTCTCCCGATTTGCTTCAAGTGGATTAATACAGTTTTATCACATACCCCGAAGCCTGCACCTATCTTTTTTTTTTATGTGAAAAATTTGCCAAACGAGTAGACGGTTCACCTGATGGTAAGTGCATACCGCCACCCATGGACATCTGCTAGACCCGAGGGTTACAGATGCGTTGACAACCTTTATAAAATTGGGCTCCGGTTACCTCACTCACCAGACGAAACGCGAAAGTATTTGTTATACTTCCACTTTACGCTGGTCTTCTATGAGGTCGTGGTACTTACCCGGACGGGCCTGCCCATTCGTGCAACAGCCAGGGCTGCTGCGTGGCCCTACCACCGTCAAAATCTCTGTAGTGTTTTGTGATAGATCCGCTTCCACAATAGCCTTTAATTCGTCATTTGTCACTTTGGTCTCCGGCCTTCCACGGGGTTGGTTCTGAAGGTCGAAATTTCCAGAAATAAAACGTCGAAACTAAAAACGTACCGTCCTTTCCTTTGTGAGCGACACCAGCACGTTTTACACATCGTTAATCCTTCGAGCTGTTTCTGCAGCACTGGTTTCTCAGCGGTAGAACTCGTACTCGTAAATATACTGATATTTAATATTTTTCATTTTGCGGTAATAAGCGACGCCAAAGAATAAAATAATGAGGAAAAAACAAATGAACGACTGATGAATGAATGAATGAATGATGAATTCAATGTACCCGAGCAACCCGAGTACGATCCCCGGTGCCAGCACCAATGAAATTGTTAATTTTAAGTGCTGAATTATCACGTGCTCGGCGGTGAAGGAAAACATCGTGAGGCATATTTGCATATTTTCGAAATAATAACAAAAAAAATATTTCGAAGATATGTGAAGTCCGCCAATCCGCAGTGGGGCCGCGTGGTGGACTATGCCCTGATACCCTCTGTACAGATGAGGCCTTTGCCCAGCAGTGGGACATTTATATGCTGTTACTTTTACTTTACTTTTTACATTTTAAATGCTTACAAAAACTAAAGAATGGAAACGTGAATTTTAAAATGTTCTAAGTACGTTTTAACCGATATGACTTTGCAAAGGACAAAAGTTTGCCTCGTAGAGTCGAAATAAAACAGCTAATTCATAAAACTAAATATGCTTTATTTCACATTGTGTCAATGTTCATTGGTCACAAACAAGTTTGCACTTCGACATTGGAACTTGCTTAACCCGAGCGATTCTTTTACGTTATAAAATATATGCAGTTAACAACAATCCCCTCAGTATACGAATAAATTACGAAATTATTTTATTTATACACAAAGCAGTTGACTATTAGGGCGACATTAACACGAATCTTCGAAAAGCAGTTATAACGCTTCTTATTTTGTATTATGTACATATATTTAGGTGTACACATTGCACCTTCAGAATTATAGTGACTCATTTAAAAAATATTGATTATTTTTGGGAAACGAAAATAAAGATTTGTATACTTATGAACAAACGCCGTGGTAGATCGAAGTGTATGTTATGTTGCTTTCTAAAATCGGCCCTTGTTTTAATACGAGTCGAATAATTCAGTCGCCGTAGGTAGATTCCTGACAAAGTCAAAAAATCATGATTTTCTTAATTGGGTCCCGTTACTTCTAAAGGTGCGATTGTGATTCAAATCGGTTAAATAAGGACACAGAAACGTTATAAATATAATGAATACGATATTATTTCATACTTTACATAATATTTTCGTTCGATTCAATTATGGTATAGGTTACTCATCAAAGCGATCCTGACAGCTTGAGAAGTCTAAATGTAGCCTTTTACATTTAGATAACTCGTGTAAGTAATTCGTTCAAATATTTGTTTCGTTCTCCGCGTCAAAAACTTGGTTATAATATGGCGTGACTAATACAATTGTTAACCTGACAAAATGAAAATAATCGACACACTTGGTATAAAGATTCGTGTTAATTCCAACGTATATACATAATATGATAACTTGAAGCAACTCGAAATCGACGAAACTAACTCTGAAGAGTTAGTTTCGTCGATTTCGAGTAACATTCGATGTAAGGCGGCCATCGATCAGTTTAAACATTCATCCATTATGGACTATAAAGTAAATCGCTTATTTGAAACTAGGTACCCGCCAAAAGCGACACAAAAGTTTATATCGTTTTCAAACTCAATAAGAAAATAAAATACATGCCCATTTTCCAATTAAATTGCGAATCAAAATCCGTCGTCGTGGCAATACGAAAAAGAAAAACATTGAACCACTTGTTTATTAATCAAAAACAATTCGACGCACAATAGTATTAAATATATCACCGATACAATAGTTACACTGCGGTATCGGCGTTAAATGTAAATAAATAGCTATTTAGGTTGTACATAGGTATATTGCTTCTGTGTTATATCAATCGTCCCCTTACAGTCAACAATCATCAAATCAACGCGTGCACCGTGGGGCCATTAAAAGATCACCAGTAAAATTTAACGTCCAACAACATCGTCTTAAACTCTTTATTAATTATACAAAATTATCATCAATATCACAAACAGAATACAGAACTCGGCGTCGCACAAGTGGCGAACGGTCGACGTGCGCCGATGCGCCCAAAGTGCGAACATATATCGGCAATAAATTATACAATGCATTCAAAGCGAAACCTAAAAATCGAGTAACATTTCATTTCAACAAACCACCATAGTAGATATCCGTTATCGTAACTAGAACTAGTAATCCGGCATTAAAATTAGCCAAATTGTTGCCAATCTAAAACAATCCATCACTGACATCGTCGTTTTAGTAAAAAAATGAGCAATCGCGAAACAAAATGTTACTGTACAAAATAATATTAGCGTAAGTAATAATAGTTGTTAAGGAAGAGAACAAATGTAACACTATGATACAAAATTAAAAGAGAAACAGGATCTATACAAAAAAAAAAAAAAAAAAAAAATAAAAAAATAAAAACAAACTCGTCTCAAATCCGTACCACTCGTCGGGACCAAAGTACGAACATTCTAAATACGCGAGAGAGTTAACCTTAAACCGATTGGGACGGCGACACAGCCCGTAACGCCGCGGCGTGAAACGGCACGCCACTTTCGCTCTTATCGAGAAGGAAATTCAGTCTATAATGGCGTGCGCGGTTCGGCGGAGGACGCGGCTGCGTTCAGCGGACCGGCGGCCCTGCGTTACGATATCGTCTCGTATTCACTATACAGAGCTCCGTCGAGTGTAAAATTAAATTTTCACAATTCGTAATCAGCCTTTCTGTGACAGCATTCCCTAACTATGCAACCCCATCTATTAAAATAATTAACCCCCCCCCCCCCCCCCAACCCTTCCGTCACGAGTGAAATTTCCGTCGTTAACAGAGGCGGCATACTTTCTCGTAGAGGCTAATCGCGGAGTTGTAGGAAAAGTGAAATATTCTCAAAGGGAAAGTGTCATGAACGGATTCGCATTGATGCTGCAATCGAAAAATGGAAAGTATACAAAGAAACTTCGCACCCATGCCTCGAGGGCGGTTAGTGGTAGTTAGAAGCGGCTTGACTAGTTAAAGAATTAGGGCGACTATTCCGAAATCCGTCGAGTTGCGCGTCGCGTGTTAATATGTACACATAGTAAAGGGTCGCCCGTGCTATATTGCATTATATGTTGTCAATGTAAGTTAAGTTATCGAAACAGGCCATTGATGGTACTCCGATGCCCCCTGCTATGCCCTGTTTGTTTTTACAATTAATTTCGTTGTACTATTACGGAGCCTATTTCACATTGCGATTTAATTTGGACGATATTTCATAGGGTTCTATTTCTGAAAATCATATAATGTTTTACAAACATTCATCCATAAAATTTATGTCGGCGTCTACTTTGATTACAACCATAATATATTCAATACATTAGACTAACATAAACCTACAAACAGGTCTCAGAAATTTTTACTAACTTCTACTAATATCAATAATAAATTTTCATTAATCGAGCGTTCGATACGAGATGAAAATATCGTAAGCGACAGAAATTAAATACATTTTCGATAATGAAATTCATCTAACGAAGGTGGTGTTCCATTACGATAATCGTGAAATGACAGATGTTTCAACGTTCTGGAAAGACTGCACTCGGCTGGTCGTAACTTCATCACACATTGTCAGAACGGGCAAGGAACTCTCAGAAGTGTGCTTAGAGGGCTGGTTCGACGTCATTTACACTATCACGGTGTCTCTTTATGCGATTTCGGCGAATAACTGGTCAATTGTCCGGAGACATCACGATGACATCGCGATGACAACTCAATGGCCTATACAGCAATCGACGACGTACTGTGTGTGCGATATTAGTTGTCGGGGTACGGCGCAGGGGAACCTTTAGCAGCGCAACGTGGTCGGCGAGCGGGCGACGGCGGGCAGCGGGGCGGAGAGCGGAGCGGGTAGCGGAGCGGCGAGCGGGGCGGAGAGCGGAGCGGGCAGCGGGGAGGGTCACCGCAGCGCGCGGCAGCGGCGGCACACGCGCACCGCGCCGCACTCGCCCCACGGGCTCATCTCCGAGCACGAGCCGCAGAAGATGCCGCCGCAGCGCCTGGACCACGCAAACGGCACGATGCGAACACATGGATCATCGGTAGACAACGCCGATTCGAATACTGCATCATGCACTATTAGACGTTATCAAAGTCAATATTTCTTAATTCAATATACGCTCATTAAAGCTCTTATTGAACGTCAAAAAAGTTACACCGGTTCACTAAACTAGACCTGTTCAGAGAAGAACCGGCAAAAGACTCCGGACATATTTCCGAAAGGAGACGCAGCTCTTGATAATCCTAAGACATGCACTGTCAGTGTGATACGAACCGGCAAACAACTGTGCCGCGGCTACCTCACTCGCCAGACGAAACTTAGAAGTATGACACCTCCACTTCCCGTCGGCCTTCTGCGAGGTCGTGATAATTCACGGACGGACCTGCCCATTCGTGCAACAGCGAAGACTGTTGCGTGGCCCTACCACAGATGGCCCTACTTTCTCGGCGCACATATGAAAGGGCGGGGCGTACACCCACCGGCAGTGGTGGCGCCGCCGCGCCAGCCAGAAGGGGTTGCGGCAGTGCTGGCACCTGGGCGCCGCGCTGTCCGGCAGCCACGCGGCGCGCACCTCCTCGCCCACCTCCACCTCGGAGGCGCTGCCGCTGCTGCTACTACCGCCCCCGCCCCCGCTCCCGCTTCCGCTGCCGCCTCCGCCCGCGCTGCTGCCCACGCTTCCGCTCGCGCTCAGCACCATCTGCGTGTTATCGCATCTAGTATTACCACATAATATACGTTGCTATTCGTGTAACGTCAGTAAAATGAATTTTGAAAAGTTTAATTTTATTACTTAACGACATACTAACAGTTGTGGAAACGCGATCGGCCTTTTTAATGCGACGATGGCTGGTAACGTTTTCGATACTTATGTATAGTTCTGTATTAAAAAAAAATAGAACATGATTTGTTTCGTAATAAAAAATATCTAATTACGCGAATCTATCTAATGGAACTAACGCTGAATTGACGGAAATTTATTACGTTCAAGGCAATGACATTCACAGAGATCTTAGATAGGGTATGCACTAAATAAATTATTTCGTTTAAAGTCTAAAAGTCTTGTCTAAAAGTGATTGATGCTAACATAAGAGGTAACTTAAACGACTTTGAACTGAGATGTTAAGATGTTTTCTTTAATTTTATATACGCTATATGTATAACGCGTGGGTTTCAATGTTCTGTACCGTGTTTATACGGGACGACAGAGATGGAGAGACATATAAAGTGCACGCGCTGTCAGCGTATTGTGTAACTGTATCGTACTGTATGTACTAGGGTAGCATGAAGTGATGATGCGTGTTCACCTGTGTGGGCGAGGGCGCGGAGGGGGAGGCGCGCGCGGGGGGCGGGCCGCCGAGGGGCGAGGCGCGCCGCAACGCCTCGCGCGCCTCCCGCAGCTGACCGCTCAATTCCTCGACGACTTTCTGTGTGGGGGGAAGCGTGAATGTTTTATTTTGTTGCATATAATTTTATACGTTGCATATCACGACCACGCAATTGACCAATGGGATTGGATGTGGATAGATTATCAAGGACAAGTTCTAGATCGAGTCCTAATTTTTTTGCGAACATCCAATTTAGAATTCGATGATATCAGTGGAGTCAGGGGCGGATATTTAGATAGTGTAATTGGCAATGGAACGCTTTTATAAGGGAGAATATTTTTGCAGTACAATTTTTTTTCTTTTAAATAAAAAACATTGCCCATACTTTAGGATAACATTATCCTGTGTTGTAAGGACGTTTTACAAACATAAATTTCACACAGACTAACACCTAGATACGAAACAACTATCTGTGGGTCACACAAATAGTTGTCCCGCGTGGGTATCGATCCCACAACCCCCGACGCCGAAGCCGTTATCTTGGCGACTGCGCCACGGAGTTAACAATTTCACTCATCTCTTATTCATCCACTCCACGTCACTCTTCCGTGAAGTTGTCGTGTGCATTCACGTTCATGGTTAGACGGATGGGGGGAGGATGCGTACCTTCTGTAGAGTATGTAGTAGGTAGAGCGCTAGATCTATAGTATGGAGTTTTAGACCCACTAAGAATGGAACCTCTAGGGGTGAAAAGTAGAATGGGGGCTCAGCAAGAGGATAGGGGGAGGGGTGTGCGGTTGCATATTGTTTATGTATGGATCTTTAGAGGGGCAGAAGGTGCGTCTTTTGCTAGAGTATGATCTGATGCGAGCGCTACTGTACTATGGGGCGTTAGAGGGACGGAGGGCGGAGAGGGGGATGGAGGAGTGCGTACTTTTTGGTAGAGTATGATATGACGCAGGCGCTACCGCACTATGGAGCGTTACAGGGGTGGAGGACGGAGAGGGGGTGGAGGAGTGCGTACCTTCTGGTAGAGTATGATCTGGTGCAGGCGCTACTGAACTAAGAGGCGTTACAGGGGTGGAGGGCGGAGAGGGGGCGGAGCGGTGCGTACCTTCTGGTAGAGTATGATCTGGTGCAGGCGCTACTGAACTAAGAGGCGTTACAGGGGTGGAGGGCGGAGAGGGGGCGGAGCGGTGCGTACCTTCTAGTAGAGTATGATCTGGTGCAGGCGCTACTGAACTAAGAGGCGTTACAGGGGTGGAGGGCGGAGAGGGGGGGGGGGGGGCGGAGCGGTGCGTACCTTCTGGTAGAGTATGATCTGGTGCAGCGCTACTGAACTAAGAGGCGTTACAGGGGTGGAGGGCGGAGGGGGGGGGGGGGGGGGGCGGAGCGGTGCGTACCTTCTGGTAGAGTATGATCTGGTGCAGGCGCTACTGAACTAAGAGGCGTTACAGGGGTGGAGGGCGGAGAGGGGGGGGGGGGGGCGGAGCGGTGCGTACCTTCTGGTAGAGTATGATCTGGTGCAGGCGTACTGAACTAAGAGGCGTTTGGAGGGCGAGAGGCGGAGCGGTGCGTACCTTCTGGTAGAGTATGATCTGGTGCAGGCGCTACTGAACTAAGAGGCGTTACCGGGGTTACAGGGGTGGAGGGCGGAGGCGTTACAGGGGTGGGGGCGGAGAGGGGGGGCGGAGCGGAGCGGTGCGTACCTTCTGGTAGAGTATGATCTGGTGCAGGCGCTACTGAACTAAGAGGCGTTACAGGGGTGGAGGGCGGAGAGGGGGGGGGCGGAGCGGTGCGTACCTTCTGGTAGAGTATGATCTGGTGCAGGCGCTACTGAACTAAGAGGCGTTACAGGGGTGGAGGGCGGAGAGGGGGGGGGGCGGAGCGGTGCGTACCTTCTGGTAGAGTATGATCTGGTGCAGGCGCTACTGAACTAAGAGGCGTTACAGGGGTGGAGGGCGGGAGGGGGGGCGGAGCGGTGCGTACCTTCTGGTAGAGTATGATCTGGTGCAGGCGCTACTGAACTAAGAGGCGTTACAGGGGTGGAGGGCGGAGAGGGGGGGGGGGGCGGAGCGGTGCGTACCTTCTGGTAGAGTATGATCTGGTGCAGGCGCTACTGAACTAAGAGGCGTTCGGAGCGGTGCGTACCTTCTGGTAGAGTATGATCTGGTGCAGGCGCTACTGAACTAAGAGGCGTTACAGGGGTGGAGGGCGGAGAGGGGGGGGGGGGGGAGCGGTGCGTACCTTCTGGTAGAGTATGATCTGGTGCAGGCGCTACTGAACTAAGAGGCGTAGCGGAGCGGTGCGTACCTTCTGGTAGAGTATGATCTGGTGCAGGCGCTACTGAACTAAGAGGCGTTACAGGGGTGGAGGGCGGAGAGGGGGGGCGGAGAGGGAGCGGTGCGTACCTTCTGGTAGAGTATGATCTGGTGCAGGCGCTACTGAACTAAGAGGCGTTACAGGGGTGGAGGGCGGAGAGGGGGGGGCGGAGAGGGAGCGGTGCGTACCTTCTGGTAGAGTATGATCTGGTGCAGGCGCTACTGAACTAAGAGGCGTTACAGGGGTGGAGGGCGGAGAGGCGGAGAGGGAGCGGTGCGTACCTTCTGGTAGAGTATGATCTGGTGCAGGCGCTACTGAACTAAGAGGCGTTACAGGGGTGGAGGGCGGAGAGGGGGGGGGGGGGGGCGGAGCGGTGCGTACCTTCTGGTAGAGTATGATCTGGTGCAGGCGCTACTGAACTAAGAGGCGTTACAGGGGTGGAGGGCGGAGGGGGGGGGGGAGAGGGAGCGGTGCGTACCTTCTGGTAGAGTATGATCTGGTGCAGGCGCTCCTGCAGCGGGTCTGCGGCGGGCGGCAGGCCGTCGGGCGGGTCGGGCGTGGAGCGCGCGCCGGCGCCGCACACGCAGCGCACGCGCGCGCCCAGCGCCTCGCCCGCGCCGCACCAGCACGCCGCGCCCTCCGCGCCTGCAAAACGCCAATCTCCTATCACTGCCGATGGCGGCCACTTGTGGAACCACTCCGCTCAATACACTTCCTCCGCCAATGGAAACCACTAGCGGGCGTCAACCGCTCCTCTCGATATCATCTTTAGTTAATGGAAACCACGGGAGGACGTATCGAGCCGCAACAGATTCGCTGAATAGACGAGTCTATACACCGAGCTATGGCTTACGTCTTTGCAACAACCGAGACTGAACAGTGCACAGTGAAATTTATAATTTATGATCAATATTTTTCAGTGGCAGTCTCTGTAGTCAAGATGCAGTAAAATGTGACTTTAGCTTAGTTGAGCGCGTTACCGGTAAACGCAGCGTCGAATTCCGATATTGTAGTGACGCGACACGCACAAACGTTTAGACGCATCGGTATGTGTGCCAACGGATAGTTTCGTCGATATCAAAACGCACGTGATCGCATCGACCCGTAGACGCAGAAGAACTTGCACGCAATGGGGCGTCCACGTATACGTGTGCAAATCGTTTGATGACTCCGTGGCGCTGTTGCCAAGATATTGGCCTCGTCGCCGGGGGTTGTGCGTTCGATTCCCACACGAGACAACTGTTTGTGTGAACCATAGACCTTTTTCAATCTGGATGTACGTCCACGTGAAGCGGGCTCCCGGACGATGGGCTATATCTTCCGCACAGAGTACAATACAATAGAAACATTTTCAGTAACAAATAAAATCGAATTTCAAGAGTTCCAAAGTATCTCCGGAGCCCAAGATCTATTTCCAATGAAATTAACATGAGACCACATGGGGAGTGAAATAAAAAACGAATCATCAAAATCTGTTCACACCGTCGAAACTTCTAATGTAACAAACATAAAAAAAAAACTAAAAAACATCGCAAATACCTATAAAATTTGAGGATTGCCTTCGATTTCTCATCATCATCCGAGATGCCATCATCAGATCCAAGTTTCCTTATCATGGTACCATTCTTGGGATATCTCCTTTCCCAATAAAAAACATTATTTTTTCAATTTCTTTTAAAGACATTGACCTCACTTTAGGATAACATTATCCTGTGTTGCAAGGACGTTTACATACATACATTTCACGTGTACAAACACCCAGATGCGAAACAACTATCCGTGGATCACACAAATAGTTGTCCCGCGTGGGAATCGAACCCACGACCCTCGACGCCGAAGCTACCTACGACGATACCTCGACGACTGCGCCACGGAGTCGCCATAATCACCGAACGCGGTTCACATAAACGACGAAGTTAACCGCGAACACACAAAAATATGTCGGCCGAAAGCGCGTACCTTGCGCGCCGCCCGCGCACCGGCAGCAGCCGCGGCGCGGCGACGCGGGCCGCAGCGTCAGCTGGCTGGCGGCGCCGCGCGCGGAGCCCGCGCCCTCGCCCTCGCTCTCCGAGCTGGCGCCGCTCGACGAGGCCCCACCTGGCGCACACATCGAGTTCGCACTTGCAACGCCCGGTCAGATAAAGCGACGCACGAGTTCATCTCGCTATAGGGCCACACTAGGTCAGAAGGGTGACACACGAGGCGGTCAGATAGAGCGACGCACGAGTTCAGTCTCGCAGTTCGTACACACTAGGAATAGGGCCACACCGAGACGGTCAGACAGAGTGACGCACGAGTTCGTCTCGCTATAGGGCCACACCGAGACGGTCAGACAGAGTGACGCACGAGTTCGTCTCGCTATAGTTCGAGTACACATAGGAAATGGCCACACCGAGACGGTCAGACAGAGCGACGCACGAGTTCATCTCGTTCGAGTCACTAGGAATGGCCACACCGAGGCGGTCAGATAGAGCGACGCACGAGTTCATCTCGCTATAGTTCGAGTACACACTAGGAATGGCCACACCGAGACGGTCAGATAGAGCGACGCACGAGTTCATCTCGCTATAGTTCGAGTACACACTAGGAATGGCCACACCGAGGCGGTCAGATAGAGCGACGCACGAGTTCATCTCGCTATAGTTCGAGTACACACTAGGAATGGCCACACCGAGGCGGTCAGATAGAGCGACGCACGAGTTCATCTCGCTATAGTTCGAGTACACACTAGGAATGGCCACACCGAGGCGGTCAGATAGAGCGACGCACGAGTTCATCTCGCTATAGTTCGAGTACACACTTGGAATGGCCACACCGAGGCGGTCAGATAGAGCGACGCACGAGTTCATCTCGCTATAGTTCGAGTACACACTTGGAATGGCCACACCGAGGCGGTCAGATAGAGCGACGCACGAGTTCATCTCGCTATAGTTCGAGTACACACTTGGAATGGCCACACCGAGGCGGTCAGATAGAGCGACGCACGAGTTCATCTCGCTATAGTTCGAGTACACACTTGGAATGGCCACACCGAGGCGGTCAGATAGAGCGACGCACGAGTTCATCTCGCTATAGTTCGAGTACACACTAGGAATGGCCACACCGAGGCGGTCAGATAGAGCGACGCACGAGTTCATCTCGCTATAGACCACACCGGCGGTCAGATAGAGCGACGCACGAGTTCATCTCGCTATAGTTCGAGTACACACTTGGAATGGCCACACCGAGGCGGTCAGATAGAGTAATGCACGAGTTCATTTCGCTTCAGTTTGAGTTCGCACTTGGAACGGCAACAACGAGATGGTAGGTTTACGAACAACACGGACGTATTGGTAAAATTACAAAGTAAAAATGCTATCGTTTATGTATGAGTTGTGTTAGGGCCACGCAACACCTTCGGCTGTTGCACGAACGGGCAACTGCGTCCGGGTAAGTACCACGACCTCACAGAAGACCGACGTGAAGTGGAAGTGTTATACTTCTGTGTTTCTTCTGGTTAGTGAGGCTTGTTTTCCACTGTCTAAAATAAAAAAAAATATAATATGTCATGAACATAAAGACTAATGCTGGCCTACACATATGGTTAAATGTGACTAGATGAGACATACATACATGACATTTATTATGGAAGAAGGTGGCAAGCGAACTTGCGGTTCAAACGATGCTAGGAGATGACTGTCGCCCATGGACATTAGCAACCCCTATTAGGATTGCAGATACGTTGGCACCTTATAAAAATTGAACTCCGGCTAGCTCACTCACCAGGCCGAAGCGAAACACTTCTACTTCACTTCGGTCTTCTATGAGGTCGTGACACGATTGTTGCGGCCAACCAAAGTAAATGTGAAAGTTAAGCTCCCCCTCACCGTTCAAATCGACTTGGAGGAACTTGGCCGCGATGTCGTCGATGCCGTTGACGGCGCCGTTGCTCAGCGCCGACTCCTCGCCGCCTAAGCAGTCGCGGCCGTCGATCGCCTCTGCGTCCCGCTCGACGGATCGCTCGACCGACCGCTCGACGGACCGCTCGACCGATCGCTCGACCGGTCGCTCGATCGCCTGCTCGGCGGGCCGATCGATCGCTCGCGCCGCCGGCGGCGTACCGGCGATGTCGAACCCCGTCGACGACTGGTTGCTCGACTCGGAGATAGAGCGCCACGTAATGCTAATGTTCCGCGTGCGGCCGGCTTCCCTCGCCGCCTGTGATGATATCAACGCCCGCAATGAAACGACTTTATTGTCATAGATTGTTATTACTTAAGGTGGGAAACTATCAGTGTTATCGTCCGTATCCAATACTCGGGAAGCACTGCACAGCTGGATTATCATTTCTATATTATACATGTAGTGTTTATCTTTAAGTAATTGTTAACACTAATATTTATGTTTAATCTTAAGTTATTTATTGTAAGCTTTGAGAAGTGTCCGGTGTAAACAATTGTTGATAAACCTTTTTAAATAAATAAAAATATTAACGTGTAATTGTTCCATGCTGCAAGTACCAAGCACTGCTTACGATATAAACGCAATTACCATGGAATTCGGCGCTTTAGATATGAGTCGTGGGTTCGACCACCACTCGTGGCAACTATTTCTGCCACCCACAGATAATTCAACAGACAATTGTAACTGATAATTGTTTCGCATATGTTTGTCCATGTGAAATAGATGTGTGACAAAGTAACAGTACAGGATAAAGTTATCCTACATTAAGGACAATGCTTATTCTTCAAAATAAGAAAAAGAAGGACACTATAAAATAACAAGTATGTAAAGTGTTTCACGTAACTGTGAATACAAACCTCGGGCATAGAGAGCAAGTCAGTGTAAGGCTCGCAAAGGAACACGACAGGCTCGTCGGGCGTGTCCATGTCGGGGCTGCGGGCATCTCCGTTCTACGGAAGTCATTCGATATTATACGCAGTGCTCGTTCGAATAGAACTTATTTTCGAGTAAACTAACAGCCCACGCTCAAACAAAGTCTTTAAGGTGTGAATCAAATTCAACTATGATTTCATATTGGTACAGGAATGTAAACGCTACGAATTGTTCTAACTGGGCTTATTTCAAATTGTATTATGTAACACTATACAAATGTAACTGTTTGTTGTTTTTTACATCTATAACATGATATTGGCTTAAACAGTATTGTTTAAGATACGCTTAGATAAGAATAAATAGTTTAATTTAATTATCTGTAATAGTGGCGTGAAAGAAAACATCGTGAGGATCGCGCACCTTTGCCCAGAAATGGGACATATATCGACTTGAAATTAATGGAGTCATTGTAAAATTGTTAACACGTTACATTGTTATTTCTATTTGCTATTAGAATTTCCTAAAATAAGCGCTCTGAGAAGGTGACCTGGAGCACAGAAAAATGTTATATATCACATAGCATAAGATTTAGTTTTGTACTTGATTTGTGGTGACAAATTAACGATTATTGTGCTTTAAGATATAACATTTCACAATGTATGTATTTACACACGTACATACGACAGATGCGGACAGCCGGTGGATTAAAATGGCGAGTTCCGTTCATTGTGACGTTCTACCTTTAGTCTTAGAGCAGTGGGCGTCTTCCGCCTTATGATTCACGCCTCTCGGATGGTTCAATTAACTCGGAAGAGTTCCCGCTAAACATAATCGCGCGCGTAAACGTACCTGCAGTAGGTGCGGCGCGAGGGGCGTTAGCGGCGCGAGGGGCGTCAGCGGCGCGGGGGGCGTCAGCGGCGCGGGGGGCGTCAGCGGAGCGGGGGGCGTCAGCGGAGCGGGGGGCGCTCGCTGGTGCGCCCTGTGCGGCGGCGCTTGGGGCGCTGCGGGGGGCGTTGGCGGGGGCGGGGGCGAGCCGTCGATGCAGTCGCCGCTGTCCACGGCGCTCACCAGCTCGCGCTCCAGTGACGAAGAAGCGCTGCCATCCGGCTTGCTGAAATGCTCCGGGTGCAGACCCTCGACCTGGGCGAATTGGAAGTGTCACTTAAGTGTCAGTTGGTCGGTGTAGGGAAGTGACACTTAGATCAAATAGGTTTCGGTGCTCGAGATACACGCGTCGCCTAGTGTGAGCACCGTGGGTTATGTACGGGTTTTTGAAATGTCTAAACAGCAATCTAGTTCCATCCAGTTTTATGTTTCTAAGTATTTTGTATATCCAATGTTTTTGCTGGTTAAATAAACCATTTATTTATTTTGATTATTGTTATTTTTACTCTCTGCCTTCCTCTTTGGATAGCTTTCGAGCGGATAGACATCGAATCCCGGTAGCGGCACCGACGTAATTGGTTATCGCAGAAAAAAAGCGATGGAAAATTGCAAGTACTTATAACTTACGATATTGTATAGCATTAAGAACAGAAATTAAATTTTTGTACTGTCGAAAAAGTTGTCGCTGTTTTCGAATCTGCGCCTTTCGTACTACACTAGCCACTTAACTAAGCGATCGATATCCACTTTATTTATATAGGCTTATCTCCTTTTTTATTGCATTTTTGAACAGACTTGTTAAGATAATAAAGTAAAGTAACGTTACTTTATATTGTTGAGATAATGAAAGATAGAAATAAAAGCTTTAGCAGCTCACAGAATACATGTCGTCGCTATACGAAGAAAATTTAGAGAGGGGCGATTCGTTTAATGTGGAACGAATATTCACCTGAGCGGAGGGCGTGTGTGTGGGGGGCGTAGGGGGCGTTGGGGGCATAGGGGGCGTGGGGGGCGTTGGTGGGGCGGGGGGCGCGACGAGCTCGTCCACGCAGCTGTCCGTGAGCGCGTTGCGGCACTCGCGGCCCATCAGTGCCGACAGCTTCCTGCAACCGAATCATTTGCTTTTTTAAGTAATAAATCAGAGCTGGCGGCTCTCCTGATATTAAATGATAACAACCGCCCGTGGACATTTGCAACACCCGTAGGGTTGCAGATGAGTTGCCATTTTTAAATAAAATGACATCAGACAAAACGCAGAAGTATAATACAGTAATAACACTTTCACATCGCGCCGGTCTTCTGTGAGGTCGTGGTACTTCCCCGGACGGACAATTCTTTTTTTTTTTTCGTTAAAAAATTCCTATATGGATTCCCTGCCACCAGATGGGGGAGCGGCAGGGGTATGTGGGAGTCCCAGTCAGGAACGGGTACCCACTAAAAAACCCACGTTGCACCTGTCTCCGTCGCATCAGCCGGGGAGACGGGAACACGAAGACGCAATCTTCCGCGACCCCGGCACGACTATGGCCTTCTTGGACCTCGTCTTCACGGGTGCTAGGCCACCCAATCCGGCTAAATGGTACTATGCCGGTACAACTAGCACTCCTCGGACGGAACTGCCCATTCTTACAACAGCGAACTGTTACCCGGGCCTACTACGTTTTATGTTTATCATTGTATTTCAAATCTGGAACAGAGAGCTAGTCTTTTAACCCGTAATATTGATTCTTTATGTTTCGTGTAATACGCAATGAGTTTTTTTGAATCTGTGTTCAGGGAGCTAGTTTATCACGTGTTCGAAGGTGAACAAAAACAAAGATTTCGAAGATATATGAAGTCCGAAATCTGCGGTGGATTGCATGGTAGTCTTTGCCCAGCAGTGTGACATGTGATATAAATATTATAATATAAAAGTTGTTAATTTACATTTTTTCTATGAGACCATATCTTGTGGGCCTGTTTTTGAGTAAAACTCATCTGTACACGCCCTGTAAGCTATAAAACTTTATCTTACATGACGTCGGGTGCTATACTGGGATCGCTGCATCGCCTCTGGGTGGTACGTTTCTCTCCGTCGCTCAGTAGATTATCGCAGGATCTCGTCTTCGTCATGAGGCCTGTGAGAAAATTGGATAAGATGAGTACATATCCGCTAAATATTTATCACACAATATATTGTAGGCAGTATCGACACGTATTTATGAAAACTGTATCAGACGCCAAAAAGTTACCGGTGGCTGGTACATAATGATTTCTATCGCGTTGATGGATAAAATTATTTTACTGGTTAGTAATCAAAATGAAATGTAATAAAATTAGTAAAATAACTTTGTTTACATTACAAATATTAAAAATAGTTAGATGTTTTGTTTTTTATTGAAAACTACACAGCCCTTGAATAATGCAAATTGGCAACATTATATAAACGGGATATCGTCCTGGACAGTTTAGGTACATCCGTGTCGTTTTGTGGGTGCATGCGTGACGTAGTGTCGGTGCACGCGTGTCGTTGTGTCGGTGCGTGTGTGTCGTTTTGTGGGTGCATGCGTGTCGTAGTGTCGGTGCACGCGTGTCGTTGTGTGTCGGTGCACGCGTGTCGATGTGTCGGTGCACGCGTGTCGTTGTGTGTCGTTTTGTGGGTGCATGCGTGTCGTAGTGTCGGTGCATGTGTGTCGTTTTGTGGGTGCATGCGTGTCGACGTAGTGTGACGTAGTGTCGGTGTCGGTGCGTGCACGCGTGTCGTTGTGTCGGTGCGTGCGTGTCGTTGTGTCGGTGCACGCGTGTCGTTGTGTCGGTGCGTGTGTGTCGTTTTGTGGGTGCATGCGTGTCGTAGTGTCGGTGCACGCGTGTCGTTGTGTCGGTGCGTGTGTGTCGTTTTGTGGGTGTGTCGGTGCACGCGTGTCGTTGTGTCGGTGCGTGTGTCGTTTTGTGGGTGCATGCGTGTCGTAGTGTCAGTGCACGCGTGTCGTTGTGTCGGTGCACGTTGGGGTTGTCGGTGTGAACTCTGGTTGTGTCGGTGCGTGTGTGTCGTTTTGTGGGTGCATGCGTGTCGTAGTGTCGGTGCACGCGTGTCGTTGTGTCGGTGCACGCGTGTCGATGTGTCGGTGCACGCGTGTCGTTGTGTCGGTGCACGCGTGTCGTTGTGTCGGTGCACGCGTGTCGATGTGTCGGTGCACGCGTGTCGTTGTGTCGGTGCGTGTGTGTCGTTTTGTGGGTGCATGCGTGTCGTAGTGTCGGTGCACGCGTGTCGTTGTGTCGGTGCGTGTGTGTCGTTTTGTGGGTGCATGCGTGTCGTAGTGTCGGTGCACGCGTGTCGTTGTGTCGGTGCGTGTGTGTCGTTTTGTGGGTGCATCCGTGTGGTTGTGTCGTTGTGCCGAAGCGGGGGCACTGACCGTTCTGCGGGGCCGCGTCGAGGTGCGGCGGCTCGTGGTGCATGCGTGTCGTAGTGGCGCGCTCCCTCTCGCCACAGAGCATCCCCCACCAGGGCTGCATGGCACGCACGCTGCACTCCGCCCACAGCACCTAGGCGAATACAAACGTTTTTCACTAAACGCACCTCACGAAAGACATAGTTTACAGAACCTTATAATGGTATTTAAGGCGGGAGGCAAAATTAGCGCAGGGAGCGAAACACATAGAGAGAACAGAGCAGGGATTTAGAGCAGGGGAGATAGAGTAAAGGGTAGAGTAGAGGTATAGGGTAGAGGAGAAGGGTACCTGGTGGTGCTGCTGCGGCGAGTAGAGGTGATTGCGGTAGGCGGGCGCCTGCAACAGGTGCCACACGTGCGCGGCGCCGTCTGCGCGCGACTCGATGCGCTCGCGCCGGGTGTTGCAGAGGAACGTGCCGAACATGCACGAGTGCACGTGAGTCGCCAGCTTTATCTGCCCAATACAAACGCCGTGGCACGTGAAGGTGTGCAGACAATTATGTCCCACTGCTAGGCAAAGGTTACAGATTCAACTTTGACCATGTTTGTGAAGATATTCTCTTGTATCTCAGATACAGAGATGGCCCCAATATGACCCTATTGTATGCCAGTGAGGAAATAGGATTATAACAAATTCTTTAGTGACAATCGACACTCTGATTCGAACTGGCATCTATCGGATACAATTGCTCTTACTTTTGGATAACATTATCCTGTGTTGTAAAGACGTTTTACAAACATAAATTTCACGTGGACGAACACCCAGATGCGAACTAAACAACTATTTAATCGCCCAGTTTAAAGGCGAATGGCGAATAAAGATTATCATCGAGGAGCACGCACCAAGTAGGCCTCATTGAACTCGAAGCTGCACGGGTACTGCAGCATCATCTGGTGGACGACGTCCAGCCACTGCAGGAATATCGGCGAGCGCTCGTTGGGCTCCTCGGGGCCGAACTGGTGGCCGCACCGCTCGGCGAACTTGTGCCCGAAGTCGAGCCACTCGCGCTCGATCAGCACGCGGAAGCCCTGGACGTTACATTTTTTGTAGAAAACAGTACAAAGATTGTCGCCGCTGTGGGAATTGAAACAACGTCTTCGGCATTTTCGCAGCCTGACGCTTTTTAGCCTCTAAGCTAAACGGCTGATTGCCACACGGAACCATTCGTGTGCGAGTCCGACTCGCTCATGGGCTTTTTGAAGTTACACTAATTTTGGCGCGTTATGGAAAAATGATGACGTTGATCATTAGACGTTTTACGTACATAAATTTCACGTGGGCAAACACCCAGATCCGAATAAGTCATTTGTGGTTCACACAATTGATTGTCCCTGGTGGGAATCGTACCTCCGCCGTGCGGTAGTAGATGTCGAGTGCAAGTTTACGTAGCGCTAGTACAGTGTTGTCCGCGAGCGTACCTCTACCGTGCGGTTGTAGGGGTCGAGTGCAAATGTATATAGTTTTAGTACAGTGTTGTCCGCGAGCGTAACTCCACCGTGCGGTAGTTCGTGTCGAGCGCAAGTGAACGTAGCGCTAGTACAGTGTTGTCCGCGAGCGTACCTCTACCGTGCGGTTGTAGGTGTCGAGCGCAAGTGTACGTAGCGCTAGTACAGTGTTGTCCGCGAGCGTACCTCCACCATGCGGTAGTAGGTGTCGAACGCAAGTGTACGTAGCGCTAGTACAGTGTTGTCCGCGAGCGTACCTCCACCGTGCGGTAGTTCGTGTCGAGCGCAAGTGTACGTAGCGCTAGTACAGTGTTGTACACGAGCGTACCTCCACCATGCGGTAGTAGGTGTCGAACGCAAGTGTACGTAGCGCTAGTACAGTGTTGTACACGAGCGTACCTCCACCATGCGGTAGTAGGTGTCGAACGCAAGAACGCAAGTGTACGTAGCGCTAGTACAGTGTAGTACACGAGCGTACCTCCACCATGCGGTAGTAGGTGTCGAACGCAAGTGTACGTAGCGCTAGTACAGTGTTGTACACGAGCGTACCTCCACCATGCGGTAGTAGGTGTCGAACGCAAGTGTACGTAGCGCTAGTACAGTGTTGTCCGCGAGCGTACTCCACCGTGCGGTAGTTCGTGTCGAGCGCAAGTGTACGTAGCGCTAGTACAGTGTTGTACACGAGCGTACCTCCACCATGCGGTAGTAGGTGTCGAACGCAAGTGTACGTAGCGCTAGTACAGTGTTGTACACGAGCGTACCTCCACCGTGCGGTAGTAGGGGTCGAGGGCGAGCTGCGCCGCGGCCACGATCTGCGGCGTGCGGTCCCAGCCGTCGGAGCAGTGCACGAGCACCGGCCGGCCGGCCTGCACGGCGCGCGCCACCAGCCCAGCGGCGCGGCACACGCCCGACACGTACTGCGGCCACAGCGTGCGCTCCAGGTTGCTGTGCCAGCTGCCGGAGCGGTATCGTTGGTTTATTTCATAATTCATGTAAACAGTGCTCATAAAAGAAATTTAATATCTTAAGAAATTCCTTGCAGGAGACCTGCGACTGGAAATTGGTCGCAAACGGTAGTCAGTAGTGTACATAATATAATAATTATAATACACCTGTATGCAATAAATATAAATGTAATAAATATCATTAAAACTTGTAGAAAAAATTGTCGCCGTTGTGGAAATCGAACCCACGTCTTTGGCATTCGCGGCCTGACGCTAAGCAATGGCGACATCTCTCATTCGAAGTTATCGTTGTAAAACGATATTCGAAATTGTTTGTATGCTGAAAAGGATATAACAACGGATGCGCCATTGCTTCAAATGCAATGTAGATAAAAGTCGTTATGATTTTAGTAGGTGTGGCAATCAGCCGTTTAGCTTAGTGGCTATAATTAATATCAATACATAAATATAAAAGTATGTAAAGACATAAGAGGTAAACTTAGGAAATATATGCTATATAAATAAATATACTTACATAAAAAAAAAACTTACGACGACTCCACTTACGGGTAGTTTTTATGTAATCTTCGACTAAATCCTGAGTGCCGTCGATTTGGAGCCGAATTTACACAAAAAAAAAAAACAAAAAAAAAGCGCTCACTTGTTGTGGTCCTCCGGCTCGGCGACGAGCGCGCGCAGCTGCTGGAAGCTGCGGCGCACGTGGTGTATGTTCGGCAGGCACATAAACTGGATGTCCGCCGCCGGGTAGTACTGCTGGCACTCGCAGCCGCCGCCGCGCGCGCGGTTCGTCACCGCCGACGCGTACGAGCGCGCGTCCACGATCAGCAGCTTCAGCTGCTGCTGACGGTACACGACCACCATATGTTATATATCGCGAGACGGCGGAAGATGGCAAGGGTGACGAGTGGTGCGAAGGACCTGTTCATTACTGAAGGACGCTTCGCGTAATAGTAGGGGCAGGTCAGCAAGCTATTTCCACGTGTTCCCGTTTCCCCGGCCGATGCAACAGAGACAGGTGCAACGTGGGTTTTTAGTGGGTACTCGTTCTTATTGGGACTCCCACATATCCCCTGGCACTCCCCCGTACAAGTGGCAGGGGATTCATAAAGGATTTTTCCCACGGACAAAAATAGCAAGCTATTGTCAGAGAGACTATTCTCCACCTGCACCCCGATTAAACACGTACGCTAGACGCGTACCAGGAGCGCATACCTCGTGGATGGCCACGCTAGACGCGTACCAGGAGCGTATACCTTGTGGATGGCCACGAGGAAGGCGAGGCGCCTTGGACTGTGAAGCGAACGCGAGGGAATAACTCCACCCTAACCCTCCCGTTTGCCTGTTAACCGTATACCTATTAATATTGCATACCAGGCGCGCATATCTTGTTGGTGGTTGGAGGCAATAACTCCTAACCTAACCTAACCCTCCCGTTAGCCTATCAACCGTATAGCAAGTAATATCGCATACCAGGCGCACATACCTTGTTGGTGGCGGGCGGCTGGGCGCCGCGGTCCGCGTTGCACGAGGCGACGAAGGCGGCCAGCAGCCGCTCGTCCTCGCTGGAGCGCCAGCCGAACCAGCCCACCTCGGGCTGCGAGGAGCGAGCGATCACCGCGCCGTTGCCGCGGTGCCGCCACACCACGGCGGGCACGCGACGCATCGCGCGGAACCTGCCGATGTCCATACCACGCAATATTGAATGTGCGTAATGTCTGGACCGAAAACCGGTGTCCGGATCAGAACTAGTTACTCTATCTCGACTTTTACCCGAGTCCCGTCCGTTTCACGGTCTTATGTCACGCTGCTACACAGACCGTCGCTTACTGTTGTTATTCTGTTTGTATTTTTTTTTATGTTTACATTTATTTTAAGTTTTGTATGTATTTAGCGGGTAGTTAGCACGACCTCACAGAAGAGCGACGTAAAGTAGAAGTGTTACACTTCTGCGTTTCGTCTGGTGAGTGAGGTAACCGGGGCCCACTTTATTTTAAGGTGGCACAGCATTTGCAATCCTACGGGTGTTGCAAATGTGAACCGCCAGCTCGAATGCCACATTTCACATTAAAAAAAATGTAAATTAATCGCACATCGTCATTTATCACCCGTACGTTAATGGAATGGAACACAACCTGCTAACGTCCGTCTTTCCAGCCGGCTACAACGTAGGCGTCTTCAAGGCAAAAGTGGATAGGTTTTTATTGAGCCAGCGCGCTTGCCACCAACGGCTGCATCGCCACTTACCATCAGGTGGGATGGCAGTAAAGTGCTGGCCAGTTTTGAAATTTAAAAAAAATATCCGTATCTCATATATTGTATCAAGCATTATCATTTTACCATGCTTTAGTCCACTGCTGAACTTACTGAACAGTAATTGTATGCGTCATTCGTATGTCAACGGGATACATCTTAATATTGGGGTAGCTGTTCTAAATCTTTCTTTATTTTTAAATTGTTAAAGTAGGCTAAAAAAAGAAGGGTTGTCTCTTCTCATTCCGGAACATCGTAATGGAAGCTAGAAGAAGTATTGTAATCGGTTAGCTATTGATATACCTTTTCTAGATGATGCCCGACACGACACATTCAAGTACGTTTGTACCAGGACGACAGCAATAGACGGAGCACACTAGGCAAATCGGGAATCAAACTGAGATCTTCACCTCGCGACGGAGTCTAGGTCCTCGTCTCCGATGGAGGCCGGCACGACCAGCAGCGGTGGGTAGGACGGGCAGAGCTTGTATTCGGCATTCGCGGCGGAGACCCGCCAGGCGCCCTTAGCCGTGAAGCCCAGTCTCTCCACCTGAACGTAAAGCGTTGATTGCATTCAAAAAAAAGTCAAAAATATATTCATTCAAATAGACGCTTGCGCGCTCTCATGAATAGTCGAATTTTACATCCAAAATTATGTATGTAGGTTCGTAAGGTACCATTGAGCCACGGGAACCCGCGTCGAAAATTTAAAAATATTACGAGCTCGAGAACAGTGCTATAGGAGCCAAGTACTCATCACTACATATCATAAAACAAAGTCGTCACGCCGTCTGTCTGTCCCTATATATGCTTAGATGTAGATAGATATATTATTAAGACTACGCAACGGATTTTGATGCGGTTTTCTTTAATAGATAGAGTGATTCGAGAGGAAGGTTTATATGTATAATTGATGCATAATATAGTAGAGAAACTGATAATTTTAGGTCGCTAGTAAAGAAATAAAATAGCTTCCTGTATATCATATCATCCCACCGCGGATGAGCAGACTTCGCAAATCTTTTCCTTCTATTCTTTCGAAATTATGCAGGCTTCCTTTCGATGTTTTCCTTCACTGTTGGGCACTTAAATGAGTCAGCACTTAGCATTTTCATTTGTACCGGCACCAGGATTTGTATTCAGGTTCAGATTATATTGAATTAAAACGCCAGGAGCGCCCGGACAATGAGCTATTTACGGCTTAGTCAAATGGAATATCATTCATTCTATAAAGCAACAATACGTTGTTATAATTGATAAATAATAAAACTGATCTCATAAATCAATGTTATCAAACACAAAAAATCTGAGCACAGATTTCATTAAATAAGGTTAACAGTTATTTAAAACAATTTATCAGAAACAAAAACAGCAATTGATAGAATGAAACACTCGACTTAATTCGATTGCAATCCGATATTCTAGTTTTGTTTGTGTGTTTGTTTTGTCAAGCATAGCCAGGCGTTCATAACGAGATTCCGTGTATTCTTTGTGACCTTCCTCAAGTAATTCTGTAAATTACTTGCGGGCGACACGCAGACGACAGTATGTATACGTAGAAAATTGATATACACAAATTCAAAGGTAGTTTTTAATATGGACAAATTCGAATGTAATGCTTCTTGAAACCTTCTTAAATCAATGTATTACTTACTTTTAGAAATAAGTGACACGTTTATTGATTTGTAATATAACATTAGTATTGCAAAAGTTACAAGTAACGACAGCAACAACAAACAAATTAGTAATACTTTTTTATGCATATACTGTTTATGGTCAGAAAACCGTAACCGGAAAAATTATCTAATGGTTATTCAACTTTTTCGCCTCGCAGAGATCTAATGTAGTATAAAATACTTTACATAACCATTTTAATACGATTTAATAGTTAATTTTAATACATAACGATGAGAAGTTTTCCTAAGTTCGATGAGAAATTTCTACTTCGCCATCGAAGTTTCGATCTCGTCTTTACAATCGCGACAATAAATGAACACACATATAGAGGATAACTTTGAAAAATGTATAAAAAAATTACATTCTTTAAACATCAATATTTACGGAGTTAAAAATTTTTCCAAATCAGACAATTTTAGAACACCCTTACGTATAAAAGTGTAACGTAAAGTTCGTTTGTAAAGGTCACAAAGCATATGAATGGGTTGAATAAATTTAAAAGAGACAAAACATACTGTTAGAAGGAAGTAGGCTTGTAATGCGACGATGTGGCAACGAATGAAAAAGTCTCATAATATATGAATCAGTCAGTTGTAGTTGTACAGGATGTTACAAATTTTGTTTCTTTTTTACTTAATTAGTTTGTTTGAAAAATATTTTTTTTTAAGTATGGATTTTGTTTAACATTAATATTTTTTTATGATTATTGGCAAGTAGCGTTAGACGTGTGTTCATTTATTGTCGCGATGGTAAGGACACGCTGTATAATAAAAAGATGAAACAAATTCATCAACGTTTTCATAAATGTTTGTGTAAACAAATTATGTAACTATCTATATTTAAAAAAAAATCGTATAAACATTGAGGACATTTAAATGTAACCTCTGTATTCTTGATTTATCTGGCTTCTGTAAACATTGCACTAATTGAATCTTGTATAATGTATTAACATATTTATATTAATATATTATCACTGATTTTATCACGTTTACTGTAAACTTGTGAGAGACGTGATAGTATCCGGGCGCTCGCTTTGTTAAAATTGTTACTTTTAGGTGCTGACTACTCACGTGCTCAGGCGAAGCGAAACATCGTGAGGATTGTTGGCGCTAGCAACACTGTATACCGGATATGACGTTATCTACTCGAGCCAAGGGACACATGGTCGCATGGAGCAGCGGTCACTTGGATTTCGGCCGCGTTCCCGGACGGTGATATAACCACTAGTGCTGCTTGTCGTTATAACAGTTGTTAATATTCAAGTTCAGTAATAGTAAAAATATTAGGATCAAGGTAAAAACGTTAGAACTCTTATAGGATACCTGCGTATTTTTAAAATAATAATCAAAAAAAAGATTTTCAAAGATATGTAAACTGCGCCATTGCGCAGTTTTATTTAAGCTGCAAACGTAAGAGTTCCCCACAGCCATGAATATATGGAGCCATAAATAAATAAATATGGCTTGCAGGCGCGTGGGTGGGTTGTACGGACCGACCTAAGATGGACCCAGATGATTTCACTCGCCCGTACCAAACGTACATACAAGTATAAACACTTCTAGGTACTTCATGCCGGTCTTCTGTTAGTCATTGATTACCGATCGGTCGATCAGATCCATTCAATGTTCATCCGTGAATCACGTGAAATTTACATAAGCATTTTTTCAACCCCTTCTGATGATATTACTGAGGTTTAACATTACCCCATCCCCCCTCCCTTGCCAATAATCACGTGTATTTTTAGTACAGTTTTTCTTTAAATACAGACAAATATAATCGAATTGAAATCTGAGAACCGTGATAAAAAGGTGCAGATGTACACTTTTTCCGCTGGGCGGGGGAAACTTTCCCTGGCAGTGGCCAGTGAATTTAGTTCAACGTATAAGAAAAACACACGTGACATCTCACTACATCCCCCTCCCCTTCCACACTTGTAATACGCTTAACCCCCCCCCCCCCCCCCCCCCCCTTTCCCGCCCCCTTCGAGCGCAATGTGTCACGGGTCTGGGTCAATGATGTTTAATAATATAGATGACGCATGTCCATACTGCGGAGGTTTAAAAATTGTTCCGATTTACACTATCCGACATATGTACGCGAACGTGACGGATGATACAGAACGTATGATACGGAAAGCGATAGCGGTCTATAGGAATGCAATCCTATTACAACAATTTAAGTGCCTCAGTTTGGGTGCGCTAGTGTCGTGTCTACCTCGTGTTTGTATACAATATCATTGATTCCGGCTCACCTCAGTTTCGGTGCGCTGGTGTCATATCTACCTCGGGTTTGTATACAGGTTGATTTTTTAAACGAAGTACATACTTCTTATTTATTGCACCTACCACGATTTCTCCTCACGCCCCGGGTTGACTGTTAGAGAATGCCAATAGGCATTAAGTCCGCCCTTTGTAACCCTTTTGAGGTGTTTTCAATAAAGAATAAATAAATAAATAAATACTTCTCTTTCTCTCTCACTTTCAACATCATCTCAAATGTGATGTTGAAGGAGCATTCCATAATTCAAAAAAAAAAATATTTTTAATTTTTTCAAATGACGTCGCCATTACGTACCAGATTCAGGTTTAGAATCAAATTCTGCATAATTATGCTCCGTTAATACGTCCGTCGTCTATGAAATGATTATAGGTCCGGCTCACCTCGGGGCCGAACCAGTGCCTCTGCGGCGAGTGTGACGCCCTGAGCAGGGCGCGGTGCACGGAAGAGGGCGGCTGCTCCTTCGCCCACGCGGCGTACGCTGCAGCGAAGGTGTCCTGGAGCGAGGTGAGGGGCGCCAGGGCGGTGTTCAGCCGCCGCCACCACTCCAAGCACTGCTCGCCGGTAGCGAACGAGCATCTGCGAGAGACGGAAGATGGCTATGCACATCAGGAGAAACGTGGACTTATCTATGAGAATCGGCCAACATCTATTTTTCATCCCCCTAAATGTTAGGGGTAGTCCACCCCTAAATTTTTTTTTATTTTTTAGACAACATTTTTAAAATTCTATTTTTTTATGATACAGCATACAAAAATACATACAAGCCTAAATTTTCACCCCTCCACGCAGGCGTAGTCGCGGGCAGCAGCTAGTAATATATATAAGTTCTAATAAGTTATACAGCCCGGGCTTGCGGGTTTTAGAATTGAATTGACTACATCATTTGTACTAATATGGTGTCATATTGTGAAGTGCTAATCATACATACTTTGTAAAACCTTGGATATATGGGTGCAGTGGAAACGGCCGTCTCTTCAAAGCCCTTCATAATTAAATTAGCAAGACTGGGAAGGCCATTGCCACACCATCCTTTTTTAGCGCTCCGTACTCAAAGGGTAAAACGGGACCGTATTACTAAGCCTCCGCTGTCTGTCGGTCTGTCCGTCTGTCACCAGGCTGCATCTCATGAACCGTGACATTTAAACATTTGAAAATTTCACAGATGATGTATTTCAGTTGCCGCTATGACAACAAATACTAAAAAAACAGAAATAAAGAAATATTAAGTGGGGCTACCACACAACAGACATGATACTCTGGATATTTTGTTTTGCCGTTTTTATAGATAATGGTACGGAACCCTTTGGGTACGGAACTCAAAATTTCAACCTACATTAAGAGCAATATTCAATAAAGTATATCTGATTCTTCGTCCCTACAAATATTTTTTCCGGATCTGGGAAAAGACAAAGACAAGTGTACCTCAATTTGTGAGGTTGAGAGCCTCTAGGGCATGAACGTGAAGGAGTAATGCTTTAAAGAGAAAACTAGAAATTAGTAGTCAGCGGACGCAAGCGCGATATTTAGCAACGCTGGTCATAAAAGCGCTTCAAACACTATTTATTGGCAGGATTTCAAATGATATCGCGAGGCGTGTCTGCCACTCAGGTACAGTGTACGCAGTTTCAGGCGTTTCGATGTAGCATTTCGAAAATACATCACCGCAACGAATACAGTGTGTTGCGCAAACGACAACTTCACCTAATAAACTAATAAATCGTGTTGTGAACGATAATTTAAATAGGCCTTGATGAATTGAGTTGAATAACGTTACCCATATTATGCCAATAATATCTATATATTAATACGCGAAGAAAAAACTTTGTCTTCTTTTTACTTTTAAATTTCAAATAACCGTGTATAATTAATTATGGTCGAATTTCGACCACTGGGCGACCACAAGTTTTAATAAATGTGATACGTGTCCATATCGAAGAGAAGTAACTGTATAAAATTCGAAGAAATCCACAGTACTCGAAAGCTATTATATAAATCAGCCGAGAAAACGGTAATCAGATCGATATATTAATTATTAAACAACAAACAGAGCACCCGATGACACGAACAGAGTCCGTCTGTCGTTATCGAATCGAAGTCGGAATTTTTTGGTGTTTACAAGTCCACTTTCATCGACGGCGGTTATCTGTCGTCAACCCCAATAAGCGGTTGGCAACAATGTGCCACTGTCGCACGCTTCCGTCCGATCTCGATATTCAAACGAGATCGTTCAATTTGGACGGTAGCTTGTTTAGAACGAGTTATATTTCACGGCGAAATACACTTATGGCTTCTTAACAATGGCATCTTTCTATAAGAGAGCTGTCGCCATTGCTATATGAAAAATTTTTAAGTTTCATCTTAAGTACAGAGATGAGCATTACAATTAATTTAAATTTCAAATAGAAATATAAGTTCTAAAGGAAATTAATATTAAAAATAAAAGCGTTAAATCCGTAAAATTGGTTTCATTTATACTCTGTAATCATGTAAATACATTTATAGTATAAAATGACAAGTTAATAAATACATAAAATCACAATATTATATTATAAAATAGAAAATTTTTATCGAATGAGGTAAAATGTTTTTCTATGTTTCAGTTATCGACTCCTATTGGCAAAACAACGGTTTATCTATTATATTAATCTTGCATTTTTACAAAATTTGTTATGTAATATTGCTATTAAATATTTACCCTTTGTGCTCATTAACGGACTAATTGATAAACAGAATATATGAGTTTGTTTTTAATTCAATTATCAGGCTTTACGACAACGTGCAGTGGCGTCTGAGTCAATCCAATTAAGACTATAAATATAGACTGGACATGCTGTTACAAAGCGAATGTGAATGCTCAATTATATGAGTGGACTCGATGCTAAAAACTGTTTTTACTGATATTCATCGCGATTGGTTCAAATTGAAATTCCCGACAAATTGCAGCATTCACATCCACTTGACGGGTACAATAAAACCATTTTCAATCATCAATGTTTGTAGTATTCCTCTGAATTAGATAAAGCATTTGAATTTTCCATAAAGCAGTTTAAATTTCCGGTAAGCCTTGCAATAGAAGTGATACCAGCAGAGTCTAAAGCACCGAAGTAACTACACCCCAAGAAGAATTAAACTGTAAATCTTCCTACCAAATCAAATACTTCTTCTACATGCTATCCAGTGGCATATGTTTAAAAGGTACGAGTGGTCGCCTGGTGGTAGAAATTTGGCCGTAATTAATTATACATGATAATGTATGTAACGTTGTTTTTTATTGATTTAATGTATTTTTTTATAGATAAGATAAGAGTTTAAAAATTTCATACTCCTTCGTCCGCGCAATTTTCTTAAAAAGATGTACAAATTTTTCGCTTCACGTACCTATTAATATATAGATAACTACTTAACTAAAGCCTCGGTACCCGTGTGTACGAAACGTACACGCAGTACAATAGTAACGGTAGCGCACTTAAAGCCATTTTTAAAACGAAGACTAATTACATTCGCCGTTTTCCGCTGTTACGTCTACCTCAGACATGTTTTTTTTTATTGTTGTTTTCACGGTGGTAGGGCCACGCAGCAGCCTCGGCTGTTGCACGAATGGGTGTGCTCGTCCGGATAAGTACCACGACCTCACAGAAGACCGGCGTAAAGTGGAAGTATAATACTTTCGCGTTTCGTCTGATGAGTGAGGTGGCCGGAGCCCAATTTTCAAGAGGTTGTCAACGCATCTGGAATCCTGCGGGTATCGCAGATGTCCATGGGCGGCGGTATTCACTTAACATCAGTTCATCAACAACAGGTGAACTGTCTGCTTAATAAGTTCATCCGCCGCGCAACCGGTGCGCAGTGGTATCAACGCAACGTCGACCTGCACAGTGATTGCAGACTCCCGATGATTCGCGAATTTTTCAAAGACCTGACCAAACGGTTCTTCGATAGAGCCGAACATCATCCCAACCCTCTGGTGGTAAGCGCAGCAAATTACCAACCCGATCTAAACGCGAGCGTCAACAAGCGTCGCCCGCGAAACGTCCTCATCGACCTGGTCGAGGAAGGGGACTTAGGTACGTCGGACCCACCGTCGGGGGTCCCGCCGGATAACACTACACACACAGTTAGTGTAGCAACAAACACATTAGTTCGCCCTCGCCTCCGAGCACGGCGAGACCAACACAACGCGTACACAAGGTACACCCGCGTTCCGGGGCGGTTCTCACCGCCCCCAGCCACCGATTAGCTAAATGCACAGGCGACGGGGTTTCGGTCCGAACCGCGACCTCGATGGCCCTTAGATGAGACACCATAGTTAAACGCACGCATGAGCACATGCGCGGCCCTACCCACAGCGGAGAGCCCAAACCCGTGGGTTCTGGCTAGCCCACCGGTTCTGCGTCAGATGAAGCTTTAATAGTCTCTGGACTGAAAGCACAAACATCAGTTAATACAAGATACAAGACAAGACTGTCTGCCCGTTTGGCATCTTTCACATAAAAAAAAACATTAAAACATGTAGAAAAAGTACGAAAAGATTGTCGCCGCTGTGGGAATCGAACCCACGTCTTGGGCATTCGCGGCCTGACGCTCTAGCTAAACGGCTGATAGCCACAGCGACGAAAATCTTAACGCCTTCTTTCTACATTGTTATTTACTTATTACTTTTTCTACATGTTTTAATGTTCAATCTTAAGTGCAGAGATTAGCACTATACAAAACTTTAAAATTAAAAAAAAAACATGTTTTCGTTTCGCGGCTACGACACTAGGGCCGCAGCGTTTTAAAACGAAGACTTATTACATTCGCCGCTTTTCGCTGTTACGTCTACCTTAAACAGACATGTTTTCGCGGCTACATGACACCAGGGCCGCAGCGTCACGCGGGTGCTTACTTGAGCTGGCGGCCGTGCTTGCACAGTATGTGGAGGCAGAGCAGGTCGCGTATCTCCAGGGCGTCGATGAGCCGCAGCGGCACCGAGGCGCCGGGCCCGCCGCGCCTCCTCGGCTGCAGGTGGAGGCGGTAGTTGGACATGGCGATGGTGCCGCCGTCCGCCGCCCGGCCCACCCACTGCGGAGAGAGCGCCACGCATGTTATACGCCCCTGGTACTCGAGACGGTTCGATAATAACAACGGTTAGCGCTGCAATGGAAGAATAAGGAGGTTTTTTATCCCACCACAATAACATCGGAATGAATGTATAAATTAATTTATCTTTGTCGGATACACGATTTTAGCAAAATTACCATTATTTTTTTACTACTAGCGAAGAACGTAGATGTGAAATTAACAGGATTCGAAATAAATCGTACCGAACAGACGTAAAAAGAGTCGTATTAATACTCCAACCGTCAGCTATGTCTAAAGATTTTATTTCAAGCTTTAATTATCGGTAGTGCAATATATAATCAATCCAAAGTCTGTAACGAGTAGAAAGAAAAACAAGAAATAATTTAAAAGATTGGAATAAATTATTTACTTGGACAATTGCAAAACACGGCAGTACACTGCAAGATTTAACGTCAAGGCCGATGCTGAAATTGTTGTCGCGCGAGCTTATCTAAATTAAAGGTCACGCCATAGGGACCGTCTAATAATCACGTGATGTTTTAGCCTTTTTAACCCCCCCTCCCCCTTGGTGATACGTGGTGAGGTTAAAGACTACGCGGTTAAGGCCCCTCACCCAAAATCACGTGTATTTTTAGTACCCACAAAGAATCTTAAAATACAGGTATTAAGTATAATCTAATTTTATTCTGAAATTAAGGACCACGATAAAAATGTGGCGGCGAGTCAAGGTCACTACACGCTGCTTTTCAGTTTATTAATTTCGCGTTTGACAAAAAAATAAATACGCGTGATATCTTACTACATGAAACCCCCAGTGATTTTCGAACCTCACTAGATTATTCGACGGGCCCATACCTAATAATCGACGGACTGACTGCAACATATTGGTAGATATGCCAGTAAAATATCAACATAAACGCCAACGTAACACAATAATTACATACATTCAATTTCCGATACGCGATGTTCGTCATAGCTCATTGCGGTCCAAATATTATCGCGGCGTGGGAGTTCATTCAACCCGATGCGTTCAACTAACCGGCTGACCTTTTGGGCCACCAGACGTTCCTGCTTAGCAGTTGTACCGCCGTACAAAGGCTGATCATTTAGGGTTATCACATGTTAAACCAGGGAAATGTATTTCAAATGTTGCAAGTAAAGCAATCATCTGTCTCATGTGTGTGCCAATTTGGTAAGGATGCACACAAAATGTGAAATCAGCTATCTCTAACGTCCACGTTAGCTTTAAAAGCGAGGTGTCTTTTATTATTTCTTTCTTTATATAAATGATAAATTTTAAATTTAAAACTTGTGAAACATTTGTAATCTGATATCGACCGCCGTCAATAATTAAAAATCCGAGAATTACCAAGAAAATGGGATCGACGACGCCATTGGAAACGGGTCTTAGTTAAAAAAAAATAATGAGTGTGACTTTGAAACTCATCGGACTTTTAGAAATAAAAAATTATAACTGGTACACACAAAAATTACGTTACACGCATCGAAATGCTTAATTTATACAGAAATTCAACTGTTTACGATCTCCAAATTAAAATATTCCATTCCTTGTTCAAATGCAACGTAGTAAACAGTTTCACTATATTCAAGAAGTTTCCAACTTTTACAAAATTATCCTTAATTTGCCAAAACCACCTGGATCTGTCGTAATGGTCCGTTATTAGGGTTCCGTACCCAAAGGGTAAAACGGGGCCCTATTAGTAAGATTCCGCTATCTGTCTGTGTTTCTGTCTGTCTGTCTGTTTCTGTCTTTCTGTGTGTGCGTCTATCTGTCTGTCCGTCGGTCACCAGGCTATATCTAATGAACCTTGATAATTAGACAGTTGAAATTTTTACAGACGATACATTTCTGTTGCCACTATAACAACAAATACTAATAAACAGAATAAAAAAATATTTTAGTGGGGATCCCATGCAAGCACAAGATTTTTTGGCGTTTATATACAGCGTGTCGTTACCATCGCGACAATAAATGAACACACGTCTAACGCTACTTGCCAATAATCATAAAAAAATATTAACGTTAAACAAAATCCATAATTAAAAAAAAATATTTTTCAAACAAACTAATTAAGTAAAAAAGAAACAAAATTTGTAACATCCTATACAACTCGCGCCACAGCGTCGCATTACAAGCCTCTCCTTCTAACAGTATGTTTTGTCTGTTTTAAATTCATTCAACCCATTCATATGCTTTGTGACCTTTACAAATGAACTTTACGTTACGCTTTTATAGGTAAGGGTGTTCTTAAATTCTTTCTTTTGGAAAATTTAATAACTCGTTAAATATTGATGATGTTTAAAGAATTTAAATGTTTAATACAACTTTAAAAAGTTATCCCCTATATGCGTGTTCATTTATTGTCGCGGTGGTAACGACACGCTGTATATATAATGGTACGCTACCCTTCGTGCGCGGGTCCGACTCGCACTTGGCCGGTTTTTAAATTCCAGTTGAATTATACATCAATAATAATCACAGTCTATAGGAATTTTATCTTACAAAAAGGTATTGTAATTTAAAATCCAGTAACATTTAATATTGAGTTTATTGTGGCTACGTTATTTAGGCAAATATTGCAGCGTCGGCGCTCTTCAACTTAGCTCACCCTTAAACACGGATGCTAGCTTAGGAATTTTCCTCCTAAATTTAGGCAGAAAATAATTACAACTATTATCATTAAAGAAGTTATTATGGTTTGAGTTTAGTGGGTTTTTGAATTGCTTTGGGAGTATTTTTCTTAACAGTTGGTAACACTGGTGAGAAGAGAATATTAGAACATAAGAAAACTGCGGTATAAAGCATTGCAGGTGCCGTGAAGAAATAAAAACCTCAGCTTCAGAAAAATTAAAATTTCGTAAAATTATCTGTTAATTTCATTTAGCCAAGTGATCCATTTAGTAGCCTAGCTCCTCGAAAAACTCTTAAGATTCTGATCTGATTTATTTGATCGAAATTGGCAATCGCCTAAATCAGAGACAACATTTAGAGTTTAACTTTAAATTTATAATAATAGAGACGCTAAAAGGATAAGATATTTGTTAAGAAATTTAATTTCTCCGTATTAACTTATCATAAAATCCTCTTCGTTTCATTATGATTGTGATTCAGTGTAGCTACAAATGACCGCAGAAGCTCAGTGGCTGGTCGCTCGCGTTTATGTTAGTATATTCAAACAGTCTGGGTTCAAATCCTGGTGCCAATAATATTGATAATTGCGTTTTCACGTGCTGATTCAGCACGTGTTCGGCAGTAAGGAAAAGAAAGCGAAGAACCTTTTTATGTTCTAAGCAATAAAAAAATAGAAGATAAAATCTAAGCTATCTAGACTTCGGCCCGAAAGCATTAAGATTAGTTAACACGGTCAACACAAGATTACAAACGTGAACTGTATGACTCGTTACTCGATACTCGCGAGTAAATAAAATTAAAATACATATTAAATATTCTCGATCCGTAAATTACAAACGATAACATCAGTGCGGTGCAATTTTTCTGATAAAATGAAAGCGTAAAACCGTAAGCTTAATGCTCGAAAATAAAGTTTGAAAAGGATACAAAAAACAAGGCAAGTTAAATCATGAACTTAATGTTCATGTAAAACGTGGAGCAGACAAAGTGTCTCATATTTGAAGATAAGCCTTTAATGATTATAAACAAAAAGTTTAATGACGCATTCAGACTCTAAAGCCGAGCAACGTGTGAATAGTATATTTTTTGCTCATTTCAACTAATTATCGTTAAAATGAATCATTATACATATGTTTAATAAAAAAGTATAGTTTTCTGAGATCATTTTAGAATTTTAGAGTGTTTGTAAATCTAAAAGTAAAATCAAGTAACAGCCTACTACTTGATTATACATTTATATTAAGTAGTTAGTAACAGCCTATACATGTCCCACTGCTGGTCAGAGGCCTCTTCTGTACATAGCCTATTAGGGCGTAGTCCACCACGGACCCCAATGTGGATGGGGGGACTTCACATATCTTGGAATATTTTTTTATTATTATTTCGAAAATATGCAGGTTTCCTCACGATGTTTATTCGACAACTGAGCACGTGATTACTCAGCACTAACAATTTTATTGATTCCGCTTGCTCGAGTATTATTGGATTAAAAGTAAGCGCCCGGACAATGAGCTATCACGTCGATTTTTGTAGTACCTAAAAAACTTGTGTAAATTTAAAAAAAAAACGTCATTTTTCAAAGTCCTATTCGAAAATGGATATCAGCTCTTTCTCTTTTTTTATGTGGAAATTTCGCTCATTTTAACACGTCACGATTTGTGCGAGAGCCAAGTACCAGGCGTACATGAGTTCGGCGGATGGGCGTACCTGCACAAATTCGCCGCATATGGGCGTGAAGCCGGCGTCCAGGCCGGGCTCGTCGTGGTGCGCCCTGAGGCGTGGGTAGAGGTCCGCGGCGCGCACACGGTGCGGCGGCGGCTCCGGCTGCGGCGGAGCGCGATAACGCTCGCGCTCGCTCATCTCGCCCCCCGACGACGATGCCACCTGTTAGACGAAACGAAACACCCCTTGTCGTTATATTATCCTGGTAGAAATAATCCATTGACCGCTTTATACGAAACATATATACTGTATACATAAATACATAGTATTAGAACAAAGTCGTCCCGCTGTCTGTCTGTACCTTTGTATGCTTAGATCTTTAAAACTATGCATTGTATCTTGATGCTGTTTTTCTTTACTGGATAGAGTGATTCAAGAGGAAGGTTTACTACAACTCCAATAACTCTACAATTTAGGGTACCGAGCAGGGCCATAAACCAAAATCGAAGTAATCTGTCCTTCCATTTAATCGGTCGCTTGTCTTAACAAACTTAAAAGCTTTCATATTAGATTAGACTTTTATATTTTTCTCTCCCTGTATATATTTTTGAAAGTTATTGTACAACACATGTATATGTTTAGATTTATGTATGTCTATTGTATCTTATTAATTGGTTCCTATTAGTATATTATTATTATACAAAACATAATATATTCGTTTAGTTTATTTAGATCTTAGTAAGTAAGTTTATCATTTGCACCACCTACCTTTGTCCAAAATATTGCACTTTTAGCCACAAGGTTGTCTAGAACAAATCGCTTTTTAGCGATAAGACCGCCTTATTGTTACTACCTTATAAGTTATTTTTGTAACATTTCTTTTATATGTTTATGGTGTTCAATAAAGCATATATATATATATTAGACATAATTTAATTAGGAACTATAGTCCGGGAAACAATTTAGACTAAAAGCGGCATAATGGGAAAACTCTGCTTCCAAAAACTCTATTTTGAGACCTAATATCAACTCTTGTTAGCTGGAACCTATAATTGGTTTGCTATTATTTCCGTCAAGTGTTTCGAACAACGGTTTTTTGAGAGAGAACTGAGAAGGTGGCTAGCAAACTGGCGGTTCACCTGGTGTTAAGTGACAACCGCCGCTCATGGACATTTTTAGCACCCGTAGGCTGAGGCAGATGGGTTGCTCCCTTATTATAAATTGGGCTCCGGCTACCTCTGAGACGCAAAAGTATGACTTCGACTTCACGGCGGCCTTCTGTGGGGTCGTGGTACTTACCCGGACGGGCATGCCCATCCGTGCAACAGCTGAATCTGTTTCGTGGCCCTAACATAGTTAAGAAGAAAAAGAAGGTGCCATGAAAGTAGACGTTTGTAAGGGAATTTCGAAAAGAAAAGCACTAAGTTGAATACACTTTATACCGAAGACGGTAGGAGAAATCTGAGGCACGCGCCGTTATGCTGCCCTGGTAGATGCGGACGAGCGCTTGAGTGCAGACCGCAGGAATTTTCTTGCATTCCTAGCTAATGACAACAAGGCCGCAGATTTCCCATATTGTACCTTGACGGTTAAGTGCGACTACGCATCAAAATTCTTTGAAACGAACGCAATCCAGTATAAAACAGGCGAACAAAATGTTTCATCCTTACTAATATTATAAACGCGAAAGTTTGTATGTATGGATGGATGTTACTCTTTCACGCAAATACTACTAAATGGATTTTAATGAAACTATAAAAGAATATAGCTTATACATCGGATTTTTTTTTGTATATCTATCTTTCTGTCTGAATGTTACGCCTTCAGCCTATTCTACGCAGACGTAGTCGCGGGCACAACACAGAACTGCTCGTCCATAATGCTCCTCTAAGAATTTATTTACAAAACCTAAAAATTTTCCAATCGCATTGAATAAAACCACATGATTGTACGATGTCACAAATACTGTAAAAATAATTAACAAAACCGTTTACGTTGACAGAATTCCATTAACTCAGTTACACAAACGACGCTATTGAGCAAGTGTAAATTGGCCTGGATACAATATTATTTGCACTAGCGCTTACGATACGCATTACATATACATAAATTAAAGTAAACAATATGAAGGTAATAAATTATTGATGAAACCTAACCCAAATGAAAGTTCGATATGACAAAATGAAAATAAAAACGTTTCTACAAAACTATTACGTGGTCAAAATATTTGTACATTTTTAGAGATGTTGTTCGAACATTTTGTTCGTCGATTGGATTAATTGTTCGCTTCACCCTACACTTTCGATGTGATGAATCAGCGGCTATACAGACTCAATCTGATTTATAATCGGCTTGAAGCGACAAAGTTATCTACTTTTTAAGTACTCCGAAATAAAAATAAAAATTAGAAGAAACGTAATCGAGGAAAACAGACTGATTTAACATTAAGTCGTATTATGTTGTTTGAGATAAAATTGAAGAGTGGGAAGCACGGTGTTTAAAAATAGTAATGGAATGATTTTCAATTTGGTTGCATTATACTGTTTGCAGTACACTATGATTATGATTACATAATCTGTGTAACACATCACAATCCCTTTGTTCGAAAACTGTGAAATCATTGCCGACATTTTGGCACAATGGCAAATTGGCATCGGTCGATGTTTATGTTTTATAATGACTTTGTAAAGTAACCGCATCGATATTTACAGAGACCAGATTTTCTAATGCAAGTTTTGTATTGAAACGCTAGTTTCAGCAGTGTTTTTCATTTTTATCATTCAGTGTTTTTCATTTTTATCATTCAATGTTTTTCATTTTTATCATTCAGTGTTTGTAACAAGACTTATTTCTTAGTCCCTGCGCCACAGATTCTTGTAAAGTTACGATATTGGCTTCGGCGCTGAGGGTCGTGGGTACGATTCGCTCACGGGGCAAGTATTTGTGTGACTCACAGATAATTTTTCCGGATCTGGGTGTTTGTTCCCAAGGAGGGTAGACGTCAGGCGGCCGGTCGTTAAAAATCTAGCCAAAACCTCTTGATTCACATGACGACCCCACCTACGTAGGATAAGAGCAGGAGGACGACGGCGAGTTTCGTATAATAACTATAACGTACGCCGTTGATACTCACAGCATTTTTGACATAATGGAAGGAATAAGAGATCGCACTCGCCAACTGGCATTTGGCAGTGTTGTGACTTTTATCGACTACGCTGACCAAAAATTTAAGGGAGCCACAAATATATCATCATCGTCGTCATTATTTCAACGTGTTTGAGTCCAATGCTGAACATAGCCGTACAAATCGACTGGTATGAAAATTATTTCCTACTGCGTGCGTCATTTCATGAATAAAAGAGACTGTGAGAAAAAACTTTAAAACTACAAAAATTTCTAAACTGTACTGTATAATACTGTCAATATCAGACCCTACATCATTTAAACTGGGGAATATAAAAGATAAATGGAATTAAAGAGATTCAATATTGCCTATGAATGGCAAACTAGCAAAGCTTACAAATTACGCAATAATCATTAAACCACATTGAGTGCAATTGAATATTCCGATAACAATACATCTGCAAGCATGCGTTATATAGCATGCGGGAAGTACGCAGCGTGTGTTATTTGCATACATTGCGGACGCTGAGACGTTCCCGTGATAATGAGGTGCGGTCATCGATTCCGTGTTTGGTTAAGTATTCAGGTGTATTAAAAACACAAGATGCAACTATCATATATGCCCCTTAGAATACATACAGTTTTAGACCATTTACACTGATAAGAAGAGGGGAAAAAACAACAACCATTTTTTTTTATCTTTTTTTTTTAAATTTTCGAGACGTGTTAACAAGAGAGCAGTGTTGGCGGCGGTAATCACTTAACTTCATGTGAACCGCTCGCTCGTTAGCCACCTTCTCACAATAAAAAATAATAATACACACGCTTTATTCTTCGACCCTGACGGTGCAGCAGAGATCCATGGCCAATGTTATTCATTATCAATGAACTGATCCAGACACCAGACGTGACATGTGTCGTGGTTGACACAACGGTCACAAAAGCGAGTAAGTTATTTTTCACGCAAATCATCCGGAAATTAACGATAAAGTTAAATGAGCGCTGCCCTAGGACTCGTACCCACTACTTTATTAAGACAGCGATTTCTTGTATTTACGCGATTACACATTACTAAAAGAAACTATGTTTACGGATTTATCGCGTTTATTTTGGTTTTAATACCCGACGTTTCGAACCCTTCACATTGTTCATGGTCAGTTTGTCCAAGATAGCGATTAACGACCGAGCCATTGGGGCATCAAGTGCATACACCGCGCAATTACGGACTAATCGCTGAAAACTTCTTCATGGCGCCAAGCTATACGCGTCGCTTATAAAACGCGCTCTCCGACCGGTCTATAATTGGCGTAACATTCCAGTGTAATGACGCAACTACGGCGGCCGGAGCTATTAAGTATACGCACCGAGGTTTCAGTTATGCTATCGTAAACGATTTCAGGCAAAACGGCTCGTTGAATAGAACGCATAGATAGGCCCGACGCGACGCCGTCAGTTTTATCACCGTTCCATCTTTTACAACTGCACGATTTAATTATAGCAGTTCACCGAATGACGCACATGCGTCGCGGTCGGAGTAATAAATGTCAAATGAAATTTCTGTTTATAAACGATGTTAAGTACTAATCAAAACTCGACATTTTGTAACATTATATCAATATTGGGATCAATCTAATATGGGATGGATATAATATCAATATTGGGATCTTTTAATCTCAAATGGGTAGAAGCGCTATACGATCGGTTCCCTAAGGACCACTAACCATAAACATCTACTAAGCGAGAGATGAAGACTTTGGTACTTTCCTGGAAAGGCTGTTACCAGCAAAAACTATTATGTACCGTTGTTACTCTAACTTCAATCTTACAATCTTCAAATCATTTTCTTATACAATTCAATAGATACATTGAATTGTATGAGAAGATGAGCTGGATTCCGTCGCGAAGTGAGCATCTAATATGGTTCCTGATTTTCCCGATGTGCTACATCAATTACTGTCATCCTAGTACAAAGTGTTTGAATGCAGATTGTATAAAATGTTGTTATTCACCAGAGTTACCACAGATAAATGAACAATCGTTATCATCGGTTTCCATTAATAAATTATTATCATATCTGTTTTAATAGATTAAACAATTAG